GAAATAACTCTAGTTTATGATATGGGAAGTGGGGCAGGGGAGTAACCTGCAGAAAGGGAGGGATAGTTTTCTCCTTTCAACTCCCTCCTGTAAAATGGACTATCATTCTCTCTCTAGCACTACCTAGTGACCTCTGCCAAGATTTTTTTTGTTGTGTCAGGAGCAAGTCGCTTCTGGTGTGAGAGAATTGGCCGCCTGGAAGGACGTTGCCCAGGGGACGCCCGGATGATTTTTGATGTTTTTTATCATCCTTGTGGGAGGCTTCTCTCATGTCCCCGCATGAGGAGCTAGAGCTGATAGAGGGAGCTCATCCGCCTCTCCCTGGATTTGAACCTGCGACCTGTCGGTCTTCAGTCTAGCCGGCACAGGGGTTTAACCCACTGCGCCACGGGGGGGGGGGGGGGGCTCCTTCCCTCTGCCAAGATAATGGAACAGTATCCCTTTTGGAAAGGCAAAGAGAATAGATGAGTAAGGATTTCCTTTACCTCTTTCATGGTGGTGCTACCTTTGCCTCTTGAGGCAGATTAAGAAGATACATGTTCCAACATATCAGAGGCCAACTATCCAGGATGCATTTGTCATGTTATAAACCAAACATGGGAAGCCTGAAGCCTCCAGTTGTTGTTGGTTCCAGGTGCCATCATTTCCATTGTTCCACTTTGGGAATGATGGGAATTTTACTCCTACATCTGTTGGGCTGCAGGTGTTCTAACTTTGCTGTGAAGCATCTCTGTTTTTCTAACATGTTATCATTTAAAGCTGTAAAGGCTCTCTAGTGCCACCTTCTGAAGAAGAATTGCTAAACCTAGGAGCAAAAAGAAACTACAGCCCTGATTTATTTATTTATTGTGCCAGAAGCAAATTGAAGGCACAGTTCTAATGTTTGTTTGTTTGTTTTTAAAAACACAACGTTAAAAACTTGGCATTATACTAGATTTTATTTGACCAGAAGCTGGCCACTTGGAGAACCTCTGGTGTTGCTGTGAGAAGGTCCTCCAATGTGCATGTGGCAGGGCTCAGATTGCATTGTAGTAGCTGGTCTGTGGTTCACTCTCCTCCATACACAAATGTTGTAGACTCCACTTTGTAAATCTATTTCTTAAGATTGGCTCTGCATCTCATGGTGCCAGAGCAGTCTGTTCAGTGCCCTCCAAGTCGCCCAGTCTTCTGTGTGCCGAGGGGGGAGTTTCTCATCCGGTATCAGCCATGGATTGAGGTTCCAGGTTTTTTGCCTGCCACTTTTGGACTCTTGCTTGCTGAGGTGTTCCTGTGAATATCTCTGTCTGTTTCTTGATTTAAGGCATCGGCATGCTGGCTGATATCTGAACAGAGGATGGGCCGGAGATTTCACTGCCTTTGTCCTTTCATTATTGGCTACTACTTGCCGATGGACATCACATGGTGCAATACCTGCTAAACAGTATAATTTCTGCAGTGGTGTAGGGCGTAGACATCCTGTGATAATATGGCATGTCTCATTAAGAGCCACATCCATTGTTTTAGCATGGTGAGATGTATTCCACATTGGGCATGTGTATTCAGCAGTAGAGTAGTAAAGTACAAAGGCAGATGTCTTCACTGTATCTGGTTGTGACCCCCAGGTTGTGCCAGTCAGCTTTCGTATGGTATTATTTCTAGAATGCACTTTTTGCTTGCTATTCAAGAAGTACTTCTTGTAAGTCAGAGCATGGTCCAGAGTAACTCCCAAGTGTTTTGGTGTGCTGCAATGCTCCAGTGGGATTCCTTCCCAAGAAATCCTCAGAGCATGAGATACTTATCCGTTCTTAAGATGAAAAGCACATGTCTGTGTTTTAGATGGGTTAGGAATCAGCTGGCTTTCCCTGTAATTGGCAGTAAGAGCACCTAGAGCTTTGGAGAGCATCTGTTCAACCATTTCAAAGCTCCCTGCTTGAGTGGTGATGGCATAATCATCAGCATAGATGAAACTCTCTGTCCCTTCTGTGTATATATTGAACATTCATGGAACAAGAACACTCTTTTAAGGCAGGCCTGATGTTTATGTGTGTGTTTCAGTCATTTCCAACATATGAGGAGTGAATTGGTATGGGATTTTCTTGGCAGGATGAGGCCAAAGATAGTTTGCCATTGCCTTCCTCTGTGGCCAAGAGCACCCGATGTATTGTATGTTCATTCTCTTCCTGCATGAGAAATCTCAGATGAGAACAGGTATGTTTATGTATGTATCTATGTTTCTCTCCCTCTCTTTGCTGTATATGTGCCTGGTTAATTGAAAGAACTGTATTTGTTATATGATGAGGACTAAAAAGAGAGCCAGTTTCTTTAAAAAGTGGACTTTTGCAGCTAAAGAAAAGTGATCATGATTGATTTCATCTAAGGATTTGTAAGGACTTCTTTCTTTTCAAGATCACAACTAATGAGAGAATGCTTCATTAATGAAAGTAGAGCTCTATAAACAGCATCCATGCAAAGAATAAAGAATAATTTTCGAAACATTAAACATTATCGTACTGTTAAAGGTAATTTAGGTCAAAAGAGGACTAAAGAAATAAGATTAATAAGAGGTAAGCACATAATATGGTGTGATTTCTTCCATTTCTACCTCTTGTGATATTGTTAATAGTTATGAAGACAGAACACTGGTGGAGAATTGACTATAATTCCATAGAAAAGCATCCTGTGAGTTTATTCTAAACTGACCAATTCTGAACTTTATTCCTGGGTCAAGAATATCTCCTGTTCCTTGTTTTTACATGTAACAATCTGTGTGTGAAACTATATAGCATTAATAGATCATATCTCTGTTTCCATTCCCTTTTAAATCAAGTATTTGAATAATTTTTATCAGTTTTATACAATGAATATAAGCGTAAAAGAGTGTTTTATATACAATTTGTTTCTCTCTTATTTTCAGCAATAGATGCAGCTCATTTTGGCTGGTATTCATGCTGAACCTGTCCTTGTTCTGTACAATTAAGACTTCAATTTACTGGTGAGTGCTTACTAAGGTTAAGGTTTATCCCTATTTTTGTATTCAGCTGTATACAACTCCGGACAGATTTTCTATTCACCTTATATTGATAATACCTGGTTGATCTGTTTCCTTGAAATGATTTAATCCAGTCTTTAGTAGCCATGTAGAATAGAGGAGCCCACTAGGGTTATATCTACATTGAAGTGTTAATGCAGTTTGAGACTGCTTTAGTTGCTATGACTCAATACTGTGGAATCCTGGAAGTTGTGATTTGGCGAAACCTCAAATTAAAACTGCATGGCAGGGGCTGGATAGTCACGTGGTCTCCTCCAACTCTGTAACTCTATGACCAGCACTCTTTGGCAGAAAAGGCTCAAAAACATGTGAAACTACAACTCCCAGTACTCCACAGCATTGAGTTAAAGGGGTTGTTAAACTGCATGAATTCCAAAGTCTGGATGTGAAGTAAAATCCCTTTGAAATCAAAACTTCATTCAGATTGCAATGGGATTAATGCAGTTTGACACCACTCTCAACTGCCAGAGCTTAATGCTATGGAGTCATGGGAGTTGTAGTTTCACAAGGTCCTTAGCCCTATCTGCTCAAGAGTTTGTTGCTCCACAAATTACAACTCCCAAGATTCCACACCATTGGGCCATGGAAAACAAAGTGCTGTCGAGGGACAGAAATCTTTGCAGCTGGACTTTTTCTTTTAGTAGCAGCCCACCTTGGAGTAGCTGCCCACCTTGGAGTCCAGCCACACCTGGAGAGTTCTATGAAAGAGCCAGCTCCAAACAGAGTAGACCATTAGAGGGTTGTCACTGACAACTATATCAGCGGGGTGAGGAGAGGGACTGGTCTAGGATGATGGAAGTCCAGCTACATCCAGGGAGCTACCTGATGGGAGTTGCAGCCATACATATCTGAAGATGACGGGAGTTGCAGCTGACAAGATAGGACAACGAAATGTGAGACAACTAAACAGCAGGATAGATGACTGAACAATGTTAGGGAAAGAGCCAGCTGCCACCACAAGAGGCCACTAGAGGATTGACATAGAGACCATTATCAGCACGGTGTGGTCAAATATACAGTATTACAAAATGCAACCCTGGGCAAAACAGCAGAGTTTTTCAAACTGTGGTCCTTCATATGTTTTGGACTTCAGCTCCCACAATTCCTAAGCTGGCTGGGATTTCTGGGAGTGAAGTCCAAAACCCCTGGAGGAGAACAGTTTGAGAAACACTGCCCTACAGGATGGAATAAATAATAATAATAATAATAATAATAATAATGCTTTATTTCTATTTGGCCCTATCTCCCCAATGGGACTCAGAGTGGATTCCAGAATACACAAACACAAAGGTAGACATTCAATGCCTAGAAACAACAAAACACAGATAAAGGTAAAGGCATCCCGGCTCTGAGGGGTGGTGCTCATCTCCGACTTTGGGGGGTAGTGCTCATCTCCATTTCTAAGCTGAAGAGCTTGCATTGTCCATAAACACCTCCTCGTTCATGTGGCTGGCATGACTGCATGAGCACCATTTATCTTCCCGCCGAGACAGTACCTATTGATCTACTCATTTGCATGTTTTTGAATTGCTAGGTTGGAAGAAGCTGGGGCTAACAACAGGAGTTCACCCCATCCCATGGATCTGAACCACTGATCTTTTCAGCAAGTTCAGCAGTTCAGTGGTTTAACCCGTTGTGCCACATTTGCCCCGCTTGGTAGGGCATTGCAAATATCAGCAAAAGAGAATGTCTTCTACAGCGGCTACTATATAAATATATGCAATCTCTCCAGGTTCAAATCCCCCATCAAATTTGATGGAAAAATTTACCCATCCTCTAATCCAGAGCATTCCAAAATTTCATGTTGCTGATACCCTTTTTAGGCATGCATCATTTTGCAACACAGTAATTCAGTTTTACTAGCAAACTGGAGATTAAACCAAAGCCTAATAAAAGATACAGATATGTACATAAACTGTAGTAATGAAATGTATGGGGACACAACATATCTCATGCAAAACTTTCATTAATATTTTTAAAAATATATGATTTATTGCTTATTTTACATAGACTCAGAGGTTTATCTTTACATTTGTGCTACAAGCTGCAGTCGACACAAGAATTGTGTCACGAGACACAGTTTCTAAAGCTCTGTTCTGATTGCTATCCAAATGGACCTCTGTTTCCCCCTGCAACTGATGCTTGCTAAAATAGTTGAGAGGAGGAAGTTATGATTGTGCTAATATTGTCACAACTGTGTCTAAGTAGGAATCATGAATATGGATTATGTTTCAAAACATATTATGCTTCAAAACTCATTTCGGATTTAGGTGGTACTGGTGGTTCGATTCTAAAGTCAATTACGAATTTCACAGAAAAAAATTACAAAACTTTTCAAAACTTCGGAGACTTCTAAATCTTTTTGTTAATGGTTTGAAAGTGTTATTTCCTGTTTCATTGGGTGGTCTTTACTTTGAAAATAGTGGTTTTACTCCAGAAGAAGGGAAAAGCAAGCGGAGGAAATTCCTTCCTTCTCTGGTTTAAAACTGGCTTCTCTAGCTTGAGCCAAGGCCAGTAAAATTCCTTCCTTCTCTAGTTTAAAACTGGCTTCTCTGGCTTTAAAATGGGCTTCTCTGGCTTGAGCTCAGGCCAGGAAATTCCTTTCTTCTCTGGTTTAAAAATGGCTTCTCTGGCTTTAAAATGGGTTTCTCTGGCTTGAGCTGAGGTCAGGAAATTCCTTTCTTCTCTGGTTTAAAACTGGCTTCTCTGGCTCGATCCGAGGCCAGGAGCCAGAAGCAGGGAAAAGCTGAATCATTTCTGACCAACTTCCTGAGTCGTAACAAAAATGGCAGAAAAAGCTTCAGAAGGGCAAAGGGACTTCCGATTTTTTAAAAAGCTTTGATATTGCTTCAAAAAGGCAATTTTAATGAAATTATTATGAGCAACGAGTTATCCGAGTGACTCTATCCATGCCTAGAATACATATAGAATACTGGCCAAGCTCTTTTAATGGCATACCCATTTTTGTGAGTGAGTGGGGGTGGGGAGGGTGGTGGTAAATATACATTTGGCACAATCTTGAAAAAAGAACCCTCTCCAGGAAATTATACACAAGAGGTTCAATTCAAATATGGCTTCTCCTTGTTCTTTGAAAGCAGACAAGATGATTGCAGGCCGGTAAGACATGTAAAGATAGTCTTTTGCCTCCTCACCTTGAGTATCTCAGCTTCACAGTTCAAAATCTCACTTCCCGGCTCGCCACGTGCTTTGCAATATCCACTATTCTCAAAAAGAAAAAATACGTATCTACAAGAAATATTACATTTCTTTACATTGCATTTGAATCAGACAAGTCAATTTGAGATCTATGAAGTGTTAAACAAGGAAACAATACAGCAGTGATCCAGCCCCTTTCGCTCAGAGCTTTGATTTTTCAAAACACATTGATTCATGTAGAACACGTTGTCAATATTGAGTTCAAATGGAGGTTACACTTGTAAGGCTGCAATTCGATACACATTTGCCTGGGAGCAAGCTCCATTAAACACTCTTGAACTTGTTTCAAAGCAAAGCTGTGTAGGATTGGAAAGCTAATTACACATGTGGTACCATCTGGTCACCAGCCTGGAAATGTAAGTTACTTTAAGCCTGCACTGTTACAGAGAGACAGGGTTTAAACAATCACTGAAACATTGTCTTCATCCTGTGCAAGGTGTCCTGGATTTTTCGAGATTGCTTTTCAGCCGGCATCTGGTGAAAGTTGGCAGAGTTGACAGCTGCTAAGGCAGAGATGTCTGCATCATTGAAAGAGGCTATTCTGTGTCTCAAGAAAGACTGCAGTTGGTGATCTGGAGGAAACATGTAGGGATTTTCTTGAAATGCATGAATCTGGCTCACAACTTTTGCAATGGTTCTTTCGAAAGAGGAGAAATGAAATACACAAGTTAGGTGTTGTTTGTCTATTTGTCCTAAAAAAAAAGTTCATAAGGTAAAGCAAGACACAAGTCATGGTCGGGATCACTGAGTTGCTGTGAGTTTTCTGGACTGCATGGCCATGTTCCAGAAGCATTCTCTCCTGATGTTTTGCCCACATCTATAGCGAAACAATAGGGCCACACAGTTTACAGAAAATCTACACACATAGATATAAAGATAAACACCCCAACCATCACCCAAGCCAAAAAGGAAGCACATTAAAGCCCTGGCAAACCATGCAAAAAGTATCTGCGAAGCCCACCTCCTACAAAGTGAACTGAACCACCTGAACTGGACTCTACAGGCCAATAGATACTCCACCATAGACATCAGAAGAGCTGCAAGGCCAAGAACAAGCCATGAGAGTAAAGACAAAGATCCCCCCCCCAAAAGGAAAAGTGTCCATGCCATACATCATGGGAACCACTGTCCGCATAGGAAAGCTGATGAAGAAACACAAACTAAAAACTGTTTACAGACCCAATAAGAAAATCCAACAAATGCTATTTCAGCGAAGGACAAGAGGGATCCTCTCACCTCTGCAGGAATTTACCGTATTTATGCAGCTGTGGACAAGTCTACATTGGGACCACCAAATGCAGCACCCAAACACGAATCAAGGAACATGAAAGGCACTGCAGGCTAATTCAACCAGAGAAGTCAGTCATGGCCGAGCACCTGATGAACCAACCTGGACACAGTATATTATTTGATAACACAGAAATGCTGGCCCACTCTAACAACCACCATGTTAGATTACACAGAGAAGCCATTGGAATACACAAGCATGTGGACAATTTCAACAGAAAGGAGGAAACCATGAAAATGAACAGAATCTAGCTACCAGCATTTAAAAAAACCCTCTAAAATCAGTACAGTAAATAAAGAACTACGCTCAGTAAATAAACAGGGGAATTCCAGACAGGAAAGAATCAGGGCCACCTAATACCTTCCAACAAAGGAAGCAGGAAGCAGCCAAGCTTTGGAACTGCAAGGCTATTCAATGCTAATCAAGTTGGCCAATTGCAACATCCACACTTGCCTCAAACAGACAAGAGTTCTTTCTCCCACCCTGGATATTCCACAGACATATAAACCCCACTTACCTAGTTTCCAACAGACCTCACAACCTCTGAGGATGCCTGCCATAGCTGTGGGCAAAACGAGGGAAAGTTTCTGGAACATGGCCATACAGTCCAGAAAACTAACAGCAACACAAGTCATATGCTTGAATAGTTGAAATCATTTATCACAAATGAACATTAGAAACTTCGAAACAATAACTTAAAGTCTTTTTATTTTTCAACATTTAACAAGAAGTCAGATTAGTGGATTTATATGTGAAGTTTTAGCTGTTCTTACTTGCAAAATCACATCCAATTTCAAAGAAATTCTTAGTATTAGGAAACTTACCTAAGTTTAGTCCATTTAAAGGTGCCATTTTTCATGGTAAATCCTCCTGTTTCAAGCTGTTGAATGTGCATTGCCAGAACATGGGCCGATGGGATTGTTGGCAAAGTTTTAAACCTCTCTCCTTCCATTAAACATAAGCTGTCACTTTTTAGAAACACCTACGATAATTTGCACAAAGAGTTAATGTAAGGCTATAATGTGAAAAAGTGGCTTGAGGTTCATAAAGTCTGTGGTTAATATGGGGTAGTGAATATGGCCAGTATTGCTGCAGTACTGGAGAATAATGCTACATTAGAAAAAGAAATAATGTTTGTGGATATGTTATTGGGGCTCATCTTGAGCCAGCAACTGATAAGACTTAACCCCCCCCCCCCAAAAGAAGAAACACCAGCCTCTCAGGACTTATGACTTCCATCATTTCATCATCAACAGACCCTTTCCCCTAAATTATATTAACCCATGGTACAGCCACATTATGTGGCTTTCCCTGGACTAATCAGATCAGTTCACATGTGTTTTGTGGTCACCTGTGGTCTAGTTTGCACAGATGAAGCCCCAGAATCCCTGCCTGTTGGCCCTGCTGGCTGAGTCTTCTGGGAGATGAAGTTCCAAACCCCAGGAGGACTCAAGATGAGAAATCACTGATCTAGAAAAACTTGGAACTGACTAGACACCTCATCACATGGAACGTTTTCCTCATCAGAGGACACTTCATATCTATTTAAAGGACAAAGAGGCACAGAACCCATCACATGACGGTTGCCTACTTCTTGCTGCCATCCATTGTCCTTTGTCTGTGAAATGGAAATAAAACATGCTGAAAAGAAGTAGCTCAGAGCATGGGTGTTCTGAGCCCACCACACATGCCAAAATAACCACAAATGCCAAAAAACACATGTGATGGGATCTGGCAGATTTGCTCACGTTGAATTGTTTCAGTTACTTAGAAAAATGGGTATTATACTGCCCCACAAGAATCACATATGTGTGTTACTGAAGGCTTTCATTGCCTGAATCACTGGGTTGCTGTGAGTTTTCCAGGCTGTATGGTCATGTTCCAGAAGCATAGCCATACAGCCCAGAACTTGGCCATATAGTCTCAGACGTTGTGAGGATGCCTGTCATAGATATGGGCAAAACGCCAGGAAAGAATGCTTCTGGAACATGCAAGAAGCACCACAAATGCCAAAAAAACACATGTGATGGGATCTGGCAGATTCGCTTGCGTTGAATTGTTTCAGTGACTTGGAGGAACGGGCATTTCTCACCATGTTGCTTAGACTGTATTTTCTACTTAATAGTAATTTGGTCTTGAAATTGTGCTCTTGATAACTTGTTAACACAATTCTGGTCTAATGGAGGGAAGGAAATCCTAGCAGGAAGAGATCATGGTGAAGTGGTTTACAATTACACGGATCTAATGAAGGGAAGCATAGTCCAACAGGAGCAGATCATTGTAATGTGGCTTATAATTACACTGATATAATGGAGGGAAGGAATGCATGGGAAAGACTTATGACAAGGGGGTTTAAAATCCCCCTGCTTCCCCCCCCCCCAAATGGAATGAGGTCCATAGTAATCTTGGCTTTTGATACTGAAGTATTTCCTGAGTAAAAAGTAATATGGAGACGATGGAGAAAAGGATTCTCTGTGCAATGGTTCAAATATGGACAACTATAGGGAGGGGGCTGAAAAGGGAAACCCATGTGATGGAAAGACAGAACTTGAGATGGGATAATTGGAGATTGAAAGGTACAATTCCCTTTATTAGACAGATGCTTCTCAAGGTCCATGTGATTTTTTTTTTGTTGTGTCAGGAGCGACTTGAGAAACTGCAAGTCGCTTCTGGTGTGAGAGAATTGGCCATCTGCAAGGACGTTGCCCAGGGGACGCCCGGATGATTTGATGTTTTTATCATCCTTGTGGGAGGCTTCTCTCATGTTCCTGCATGAGGAGCTGGAACTGATAGAGGGAGCTCATCCGCCTCTCCCCAGATTTGAACTTGCGGCCTATCGGTCTTTAGTCCTTCCGGCACAGGGGTTTAACCCACTGTGCCACCGGGGGCTCCTATACGATGTGATGAAGTCCATGTGATGAAGTCCAAGGAGAACATTCTCCAGCCGTCTGGATAGAAATACTGCTCCACGAAAATCACATAGTGTGTTCAGGCTTTCATGGCCTGAATGACTGGGTTGTTGTGAGTTTTCCGGGCTGTATGGTCATGTTCCAGCAGCATGGCCATACAGCCCGGAACATGGCCATACAGCCTCAGAGGTTGTGAGGATGCCTGCCATAGAGAATGCTTCTGGAACATGGCCATACAACCCAGAAACCTCACAGCAACCCAACCACATATGTGTTGGGTCTGCAGTATAAAATAAGCCAGTACCTGGTCTAACTCAACGAGACTGTGGATATAAATTAAAGTCACTTTTCACCTAGTCTGAAATGATGGGATTATAGAATCTCATAGTATCAACAGCTGTTTTAGTATTCTACATGAAGTGAATATGACCACACACACTACTTCAATGGTTCTCAACCTGTGCATCCCCAAGTGTTCTGTCCTACAACTCCCAGAAATCCCAGCCAGTTTACCAGCAGTTAGGATTTCTGGGAGATGAAGGCCGAAACATCTGGGGACCCACAAGTTGAGAACCACTGCACTGCCGTTTATCCACTACTCCATTGTGAATTTCTGGACCTCAACAAAAATTCACTGCAATCAAGCTTACCAAAACCTATTCCACTCCCTGAGCTAATAACAATTCTCAGAATCTTTATCTAGAGGTCACAGATTATTACGTACCTCAACAGCTTTTAGTTCTTCCATTATCCCCAATACCTTAGAAGGCAAACTTTTCCAAACCTTAATAGAAGAAGAAAATAACATTTTAAAGATTACATCAAAAGATTAGAGGTGAAATAAATTGTTTTAGTTGATAAACTTTCATGAATTGGATATGCTACAAAAGAAGTATTTACTCACTGGCAACTGTCTCACAACAAGATGTTCCAGGCCATTTAGGATTTGTATTGTAGTAGAAAAATTTCTTTGCTCATAGCAACACTTTGCAATGGAGAGAAATTTTGTTAGAAGGTTCACCTGTGTCTGGAAAAAATTATAAGAAATATATTTTTAATTCTTTAATTAAAAATGTATCTTTAATTCTGTAAAGTGCAATATGTGTTTTGTAAACATTGAGATTAAACTCCATACAAACCATGGGGCCAGTAAGCTTATGAACTTGTGTTATGCAGGTAGGGAAGGCATTGTTTTTACAAAAGGGAACTGTAAATAAATAAATAAATACTGGGGAACCCAATTATTCATATGAATTAGAATGCATTATCCATCAGTAGCCAAATCTAAAGCTTGCCTCAAAAACTGAGATGGATGGTGTCAGGCTGGATTAATTACTACAATTAAGAAATTTTGATCTACATGTTGATGTAGAAGGATATCAACATTTCTTTTATGGCATCCGTATTCTGTGAAACTTTGCCTCCATCAAACTTGTCATTTAACAGCAGCAAAAACAACTGCTCTCTAATTGCTTGTTTTCTAGTTACCAATTTAAAATAATGTGTATTTCTAAGAAGTGCGACAGAGAAAACAGAAAATGCTATTAAATGAGCAGTTAACCATTTTTTTCTGTTTTAGAAGCTAATTACCAAACTCAAATATGCTCTGTTATTATAAGGAGAAAGGAGATTCCTTCTGAACATTAGGAAGAACTTCCCGACTGTGAGAGCCGTTCAGCAGTGGAACTCTCTTCTGGGTTGCTGTGAGTTTTCCAGCCTGTATGGCCATGTCCCAGTAGCATTCTTAGCTGATGCTTTGCCTGCATCTGTGGCAAGCACCCTAGAGGTTTGTACAGACCCACCAAGAAAATTCAACAAATGCTATGTTCAGCAAAGGAATCTCTGCAGGAGTCTACCATATACCATGCAGTTGTGGACAAGTCTACATAAGGACCACCAAACACGAATCAAAGGCTCCTTCTTTGGAGGCTTTTAAACAGAGGCTGGATGGCCATATGTTGGGGGTGCTTTGATTGTGATTTTCCTGCTTCTTGGCAGGGGTTGGACTGGATGGCACATGAGGTCTCCTCCAAATCAAGGATTCTATGAAAGAACACGAAAGGCACTGCAGACTAATTCAACCAAATAAGTCAGCTATGGCAGAGCACTTGATGAACCAACTTGGACACAGAATATTGTCTGAGAACACAGAAATGCTGGACTACTCTGACAACGGTCATGTCACACTATACAGAGAAGTCATTGAAATCCACAAGAATGTGGACAAATTCAACAGAAAGGAGAAAACCATGAAAAGGTTACCAGTATTTTAAAAACAAACAAACAACCAGAATCAAGACAGTAAATGAAAAACACCACTCCGCAACAGGGGAATTCTAGAAAGCAAACAATAGAGTGCCAGTTAACAACTCCCAAACAAAGGATGCCTCCAGGCAACAACACTGATTGACTTTGCAGCTGCAAGGCTACTCAATGCTAATTAAGTTTGCCAACTGCAACATTTACACTTGCTTCAAACAGACAAAGGGTTCTTTTCCCCAACCCTGGACAGTCTACAGATAGATACGAGGGTTGAATGAAAAGTAATGCCTCCACCTTCGTTATTTGGGTTTGGGGGGGGGGAATGTTTTAATAAATCAAATGGAGAAATAATCCTTAGAATGTGCTCTTTAACTACCACTATTCACTTTTCCACATAATCACCAGACAATTGGATACATTGCTGCCAACGATGCACAAGTTTCTGAAGCCGTCACAGAAGAAGTCAACACTCTGTTTCTGCAACCAGCATCTCACATTTCTCTCATCCTGGGTACCCATTGTGCACAGGTCTTCCGATAGCCCAGCAAAGCAATAATGTGACCCACACATTGTTGTGAAATGCCGATTTTGCTTGAAATTTCTCTCTGAGTGATAAGACGATCGTCCTGAATCAATCTGTCAAACTTTTGCTTGTGAAACTCAGTAGTTGCTGTCACAAGATGTCCAACTCTTTGTTTGTCACGCAAGTCAGATGTTCCCACCTCAACATCTTTAAACTTACTCACCCAATGATGCACAGTACTCACATCAACACAATCACCATAAACAGCTTGCATTCTCTGATGAATCTCCTTTGAGGTGACACCTTCTGCGCAGGATTCCATGCTTCTCACTTTAACAACACAACTTTTCAATGCTAAGGCTTCCTGCCAAAATGGAACTGTAGAGGAGAGTCTACTGAACAAGCCAGTACCTGCCGCATGCAAGTACTGCCATCTGTTGAGGAGTTACAAAGGTGGAGGCATTACTTTTCATTCAACCCTCGTAGGTAGGTAGACAGATAGACACATACACACACACACTCCACTTGCCTAATTTCCAACAGACCTCTGAACAAACCTCTGAGGATGCTTGCCACAGATGCAGGTGAAACGTCACCTTGCAGATGACCAATTCTCTCACACCAGAGGCAACTTGCAGTATATTCTCAAGCTGCTCCTGACATGATAAAAACAAAACAAAACATAGTCCTGGAAAGAAAAACCCTCTAGGGAGCTATTTGCATTTAAAGGGAAGCAAGGAATCACCCTTTCCTCGGATGTCCCACCCAGCAAGGCCACTGCAGCTACTCTGCCCCACAAAGAGAAAAAATATATATATTATATGCTTGGGAGATGTTATTTTTATATTATAAATAGATAGAACCACACACAGAAGGGAAAGGGGATTGCAAACCTTAGAACTGTAGCTTGTTACAATTTCAGCTGCAACCCAGGTACTGACATTGTCTGCATATTTCAAAAGCTGCAAGAGGTAATCATCTTGGACACAGTTTTCGACAAAAAGATTATAGATTTGAGTAGGCAGGAGTTCAGCAGAAGTAACTCTGTAAAAGACAAGCATCTCCAACATTCAGTATAATTACAACCAGGCAAAAGCTCACAGACGTCACTGTGAAGAAATAATAAGAATGTTGGGAAATCACCTCCAACTGGAGTTATTTCCTGAAAGAAAGATCTATACTTAAAAAAGTGAAGGGACACATATTAAACCAAAAAATATTTCTCCAAACTGAGAAAAGGCAATTAGAAGAACAAGCACAAGATTTCTCAGAATTTTATCAACTTCTGGTCTCAAAGAGAACCTAATTAAGCTTACACGATCTGATCTGCAACATATAGTTCAGCAGGAGATGTGGTCTTTCTAGACCTCTTTATGCCAGAGGTTAATACTTGTTGGAAATAGCAACCTTCTTCAAGCCTTCACTCATTATTTATTATGTATATAATTCAGATTACTTAAAAGGTAAAGGTTTTCCCCTGACATTAAGTCTAGTCATGTCCAACTCTGGGGGTTGGTGCTCATCTCCATTTCTAAGCTGAAGAGCTGGCGTAGTCTGTAGACACCTCCAAGGTCATGTGGTCAACATGACTGCATGGAGCACCGTCACCTTCCCGCCAGAGTGGTACCTATTGATCTACTCACATTTGCATGTTTTTGAACTGCTAGGTTCGCAGAAGCCGAGGCTGACAGTGGAAGCTCATGCTGCTCCCTGGATTTGAACCTGTGACCTTTCAGTCAACAAGTTTAGCAGCTCAGCGGGTTAACTCACTGCGCCACCGGGGGCTCGAAGTGGCTCAATGCTATGGGATTTCTAGTTTGACAAGGTTTTTACCTCCTCTGCCCAAGAGCCATGGTGCCTCACTAAGTGGTGGTGTTGTTATTATTATTATTGCTGCTCATTCCATTTCTAAGCCAAAGAACTGGCATTGTCTATAGACACCTCCAAGGTCATGTGGCCAACATGACTGCCTTTACCGTCCCACCGGAGTTGTACCTATTGATCTACTCACATTTGCATGTTTTCAAACTGATAGGTTGGCAGAAGCTGGGGCTGACAGTGGAAGCTCACACCGCTCCCTGGATTTGAAACTGTGACCTTTCGGTCAACAAGTTTAGTAACTCAGTGGTTTAACCTACTGCACCACCGTGGCTTACTATTACTTACTGTATTAAATGTATGTACTCGTATGTAGTTTCCCTTAACACTATGTTGTGGGAGAGACTTCAGACCATGTGATCAGATCTGGGTTGTTCAGGATTCACATTCCATTTTAGAAACAGTATGCTTTCAGAAGCCATTTAGAAACAGTACAGTTGAGATGCCAATAGAAACAGTATGCCTTATAAGTCTTTAAAGAATATGAGACTCTATTAGACTCTCAGACCAGAGAGATGTTTTAGATTTTGGACTGCTGATTATAAGAAAGATGCCCTATGTAATTTGCACAGAGAAACTGCTTCAAATTCTATGTGTAACTGGACTGATAAGCAAGCTACCTGTATGCTGAATACATGTAGTTTGTGAGTAAACCAACCATGTTACTTTTAAAGAAGTTTATTTATTTTTGGTCTCTTGAGAGCATGCTTTAAACTAAGATGTTTTAAGGGAGCATAGATGTTTTTTAGGCAACTGAAAGAATACATATAATTTTCTGCTGTATATATGTGTGTGTGTATGTTTGTGGATTGGCATATCTTTGTTCCTAACAGTTCAAAGACATATTTAAGCATATCAATTTAACAACTGAGAAACCCAATTGCCTTGCATGAATACTAGTGGATATTTATCACTAAGGTGAAGGTTGACTCGAGTTTTTAACTCTTCTCAAGGAGAGGATTTTCCCAAAATGGTGATGAATGTCATTTTCCAAAAGTTTGTGGAGATTTCAATTTCCCAAAAGGTTATGGCATCGTTTCCCCCCAGAAATACTAGCCTTAAAAAAATAACACTCTCCTGATCCATTCTGTAATCCTTTCTGTTCTCTAGGAAACTCCACAGAAGAAACAATCAAGAACAGTTAATCACCTCTCAACAAAGAATTCCCCCAGGCAGTAACAAGGCACACCTAAAAACTGTCAGGCCATCAAATGCTAATCAAGGTGGCCACTTGAAACATTCACACCTAGTTCCAACAGACAAGAGTTCTTTCTCCCACCCTGGACTTTCCACAAACCCTCACAACCTCTGAGGATGCCTGCCATAGATGCAGGCAAAACTTCAGGAGAGAATGCTTTTAGAACATGACCATACAGCCTGAAAAACCTACAACAACCCACTGTTCTCTGATATATTGATGAAATGGGACTACTGCAGCTAGAATTAACAACTGGATATAACAGGAGTGATTATTTCATTTATTGTCTCAATTTGTTTCCAGCTTATGTTAATTTATGCCGATCTTATGCCTGGGTAAGATTTGTCCAAAGAGACCATTTCTATTGCCTTCATTTGAAACTGAGAGTGCAGGATTTGCTAAAGGCTACTCAATTGTTTGTTTTTTTCCCCTGTGGTGAACAGAGATTTAAACATGGACCTAATCTAACACTCAAACCACTATGTCACACTGACCCTCTGGTTATTTTACTATTTTCTTCTTCTTTCATTGCATCTTTCCCCTGAGATAATACCCCAAATGTCTTCATTTCTGAACATACTGGTCTGGATTTTCACCAGAAAATTCTCCAGAGAAACAACCTCCCCATCTTCCCTGTATTTCACAATAAAGGACTTTGGAATTTCATTGTACTAAGGTCAATGTATTTACTTGTACCTGAAAACATTGCTGTTTACTTATCTGATAAAAAAATCAAATAAATATCTCAGTTGTACCCTGCTCAGCTTGTCTGTTAGATAAGTAGTCTATTGTTCATCTGCACAAGTATTATCAATTCAAACAGGAAAGAAAATATAATACTATGTTTTTACACCCACAGGTTCATAACACATCAGAGGAAATTACCCTGACATGACATTTTAAGAACTGTAACTCCCAGAGTGATGTTTTATCACAGAACTAGATTTCTACTACATGCATTTGACAATAATGGCATTAAAGAATAGGAAAATAAAAGGTCTCTAAGTTTCAACCTCTTGCCATTTAATGATTTCTGGGGTTTTTTACAGCTCAAAGTTGGTACAAAAATTATCTTTTACTTTTGGGGTAATTAAAAAAATAAATTCTAGCCAATACAGTGCACTGGGACAAAACATGCATCTTACTATTTTTCAGTAAGCCATGATATAGACAAGCTGAATTGACAAGACAGGTCCATCCCATGGGGTTTACATGGCAGAAGATTCAAGAAATACTAGAAATCTACACTAAATCCTAACCATAACTGCAGTGCATACTTTTTCTATGAACTCTTAGCATAGTGAAATTCCAATAAGATCAGAAAATACACTACAACCCAATACAAGAATTTATTTTTGTATCCTAGGACTTGAGTGTTCAAGTAAAAAATGCTAGTGGGGCAAGGAGGACAGCGAGGAATCCTCTAATCAGCATCATTTCTTTATTTAGAAAGAAATTGTTAGAATGTAGACTACACAGAAAAGACTGCCATTTTCAATTAAGGATGGTGAAGACAAGGAGGGAAGTTATACCAGATATGTACCAGGCATGGGCAAACTTCAACCCTCCAGATGTTTTGGACTTTAACTCCCACAATTCCCAATAGTGGGTAAGCTGGTTGGGATTTCTGGGAGTTGAAATTAAACACACATGGAGGACTGAAGTTTGCCCATGCCTGATGTATAAACTTGGGAAGAATGAAAGCAAGTGAAAGGCATTTTGTACCCAATTTAGGAGCAGAACTATCTGCTTGTAACTCGGGAGCAAAATCCTCGGTCTCAGACTACAGCCAGCCCTCTACATTTGGGATTGCTCATAGGTTGGATTAAAATGTTCTTTCGAGGAATCTCTTGGTCTTCTGCCAGAAGTTGACCATAGACTTGCACTGGAGGTCCGAAGAAATTCTCTCAGAAAAAAAGGAGCTATTTTTATTCAAGTTTTTTCCACTTATGTGGGGATTCTGCACCTCTAACCTGTGGTGGAGGCCTGACTGTATCACAAAATATTTTCTGAAGAAGTCATTGTTATGAGTTAATTTTCTAATAATCCTTTGCTCATTTATGGTATTTGCTAATGTGCTTATTTTCAAATGTTGAACATTTAGGACTATATTTAGACTGCGATACCTTGTGCAAGTCTTCCATAATATGTGGAGCTCAGTTTATACTAATATCTACAATCAATTTTCCCATAGTGCATAACAAAGGCAACCCCCGCCCCTCTGAAATTCAATGATCCCAGACAAGGCAAACTTACTTTTGGAGAGGTACACTTTTGTCTTTTACTCCAAGGTATCTTGAATTCAGAAAGTGCACTGGGTGACATTTATGGAACATTTCCTTTAAAAAAAATTAACAAAAATATGATAGCATTTGTATACATGATTCTCAAACCGAAATCAGAGAGCCTTATTGGAAAGATGCTTTTGTCTGAGAGATCAAGAAGATTCAGTATGGTAACTTTCCCTTCTCTCTCCTAGGGCCCTTCCAGACAGGCCCTATATCCCAGAATCTGTTCCCAGGTTTTTTTATCCCAGATTATTTGGCTGTGTAGACTCATATAATCCAGTTTAAAGAAGAAAACCTGGGATATAGGGCCTATCTGGAAGTGCCCCCATGAACAAGGCAATGAAGGCTGTGAGACTGTAGTCTCCTTACAGACACCTGTGAGGATAGCCTTACCCTAAAGATGCATTTATAATTGCTTAAAATGTCCTATTACTTGAAACAAACAACCAAGACCAAAAAGGTGGTTTACCTGGCATATGCTTTCTTTACCTTTGTGGAAGTAGCTTACCAATATTAACAAGATGGCCTTCAACTCTTCAGGATGATCATAACAGATCATCGAAAATACAGTTTATTATAAACCAGGTATTTTGCCACATGTACTAAGTTAGAGATTACCTCCACAACATTCTTCCTCTCTTGTCAACGTAGAGTCAAAAGTGTGAGGTTGTGTTACACTGGATGGCTTATGAATATTGTGGCTCAAACTACATCACTTCCCTTCAGTCTGGTGTGTAACAGGGAGCTTAACAGGTTCTGTCCTCAAACAGATTGCTTTTGGAGGCCATCTTTCCAAAAGCAATCCACATAATAACCGAAATTTCATAATAGTAGCACCACTAATAGCAGTATAAATATTATACTGTGAATGACTGCCTTGGTGAGAAAATAAGTGTTACCTGATATAAGGAGACAAGGGAGTTCATATATTGTTCTCCCTTGTTCATCTATTACTAGCATATTTTAAAGCATGCAAGTTATCCTGTTGGGCTAGAAATGTGTTTATTATTATTATTATTATTATTATTATTATTATTATTATTATTATTATTAATTATTTATTATTATTATTATTATTATTATTATTATTATTATTATTTCAAACATTTGTACCCCATCCTTCTCAACTCCCGAGAGGGACTCAGGGCAGCTTACACCAGCAACAATTCAATGCCAACAACATACAACATAACAATAAAACACAATTAAAACATTAAATATAAATAGGCAGTTAAAACATTATTAACAATAATCCAAATTCGATTCAACATTCAGGGACTTAGTCCAAAGCCTGTCCATTATCAGTTCACATACATCAACTGCAATTGCTGCTAAGCTTGCTGTCCAAATGCCTGGTACAACAACCACGATTTGAGCTTTTTCCTGAAAGAAAGGAGAGATGGCACTAACCTAATTTTACTGGGGAGTGAATACCACAGACGGGGGGCCACCACAGAGAAGGCCTTGTCTCTCTTTCCCACCAACTGTGTTTGTGAAGAAGGCAGTATCGAGAGCAGGGCCTCCCCAGATGATCTTAAATTCCAAGGTGGATCATAGAGGGAGATGCACTCGGACAAGTAGGCTGGTCCGGAACTGTATAGGGCTTTATAGGCCAAAACCAGCATTTTGAATTGTGCTCGGAACTGGACCGGCAGCCAGTGGAGCTGAGTACTTCTGACTTTCAGGGCCATATTGCCTTTGAATCATATTATTAAGAAGCTTGATTTGGAAACTTCTCGCAAAATGACTGAGGCTTCACAAGTGTTATCTTTCCAGCACTGAAGAGAAATAGTGATATGCCATTGTTTCAATTAATAAGAAAACAACTTAGTTTACCTGCTCCAACAGCGTCAGCTGACAACAAAGTTGTTGTGCAGTGTATTCTCTTAAGAAATATTCTTCCCCATGGAAACCTTCTGTTATATTTGTAAAGCATTGTTTTGGTAAAGAGGGTGCAATCATTGGTTGTTTATCTTTTTGGTAAGGCGCAATAGCTTCATTTCGTTTTGAGGGTTTCCAGTTAAAGCTCTGTACAAGAAAGGAAGGAAGGAAGAGATTATCCCACGTATAAGTGGATCTAAATTCATTCTTATACAATCTATAAATATTACATTATGGACCTCAAGCTTGTGTGGTAAGGCACAATAGCTTCATTTCTTTTTGAGGGTTTCCAGTTAAAGCTCTATAAAAGAAAGGAAGAAAAGAAGGAAGGAAGGAAGGAAGGAAGGAAGGAAGGAAGGAAGGAAGGAAGGAAGGAAGGAAGGAAAGGATTATCCCACGTGTAAGTTGATCTAAATACATTCTTATACAATCCATAAATATTACATTTGGGGACCTCAAGCTTGTGTGGACCGCGAATTAATTCCAGAAAGAAGCTGCTAATAGTGAAGAACAGAAGAGACTGGTGTTATACTAGGTCTGGAATTAGCTTTATATCAGTGTTTCTCAACCTTCCTAATTCCGTGACCCCTTAATGCAGTCCCTCATGTTGTGGTGACCCCCAACCATAACATTATTTTTGTTGCTTCTTCATAACTGTAATTTTGCTCCTGTTATGAATCACAATGTAAATATCTGATATGCAGAATGTATTTGCATTCACAGGCCCAAATTTAGCACAAACACCTGTTACGGCCAAATTTGAATACTGGTGGAGTTTGGGGAAAATAGACCTTGATGTTTGGGAGTTGTAGTTTTTGGGATTTATAGTCCACCTACAATCAAAGAGCATTCTGAACCTCACCAGTGATAGAATTGGGCCAAAATTCCCACACAGAACCCCCATGACCAACAGAAAATACTGTGTTTTCTGATGGTCTTTGTCGACCCCTCTGACACCCCACTTGCAACCCCCAAGTTGAGAAACAATGCTCTATATGAAAGCTAAATTATTACATTTTAGAATAATTCATTTTTCTGAGCTGTTTTCATAGGCTGGCCCCTACACTACACAGTAGTCAAAAACAGTATATATGATACTGGCCAAATCCTAGTGAAATAACTATTATATCACCTAAAACTAGCAGATTGATCTTCTAGCTATAATACTCATCTGTCATGAATAGAATGAATGGTTTTTTTTCAGCATATTCAGCATCATCTGGTATGGATTTAATTTTAATTTATTCACACTTAGACAACCCATTGAAGACTCAACTGCCTGTGGCCATTCATTATTTGTTTCTCTCCCCTGTAAGCCATGTAATCCTTTTACAGGAAGAATGTAACAACAGTAATTAGTACACTAAAGTGTTCTTCTATTATGAGGCCACTAACATTGACTGAGAAGTCTTTAGGGCAGTAAAAAGTCCATTTTCTAACTGGTAAATACAATGTATCTTTAAGACACTTGAAATTGCTTAATTAACTTACGAGAACAATTTTTACAACAGCAGCAGTAGTTTTGTTGTCATGTTTTTCTGCTTGAGGGTATTGCAAATTATGTTATATCTTGGCTACCTGATGTTACCTTGTAGTCTTCGATTCCAATATCTGAACCAATGAAGATATTAAAGGAAGACAGACAAATTTAAGTCTTGGAAAGAAACTTGGATCAGCCACAGTTCTTCTTTTTATCAGTTCAGGATTTTAAGATCATTTATATGGTATCACTGGGTTTGGGCCATTTAGAAGCCTGACTCAGCTGACAATATACCACAGATGGAAAGTGGGAATATGCTTGATTCATTAATCATATTAATGAAACGAGGTAATGTCTGATGCTAGTTTGGAGATGTATTGTGCCTTCCAGGATGTGTTTTGCCCATCTATGAAACAGATCAGTTTCTGTACCTCTAAGGAAGTGGTTCTCAACCTTGCTAATGCTGTGACCCCTTAATGCACTTCCATATGTTGTGGTGACCCCCAACCATAATATTGTTTTCGTTGCTACTTGATACCTGTCATTTTACTACTGTTATAAATCATAATGTAAATATCTGATATGCAGGATGTATTTTCATTCACTGGACTAAATTGAGCACAAATACCCAATATGCCCAAATGTGAATGCTAGTGGGGTTGGGGGGGGAGGATTGATTTTGTAATTTGGGAATTGTAGTTGCTGGGATTTATAGTTCACTTATAATCAAAGAGCATTCTGAACTCCACCAGCGATGGATTTAAACCAAACTTGGCACACAGAACTCCCATGACCAACAGAAAACACTGGAAGGGTTTTGTGAGCATTGACCTTGAGTTGTAGTTCATCTATACACAGAGGAGTGCTGTGGATTCATGCAATGATGGATCTGGACCAAACTTGGCACGAATACTAAATATGCCCAAATGTGAACAATGGTGGGGTCTGGGGAAAATAGACCTTGACATTTGGGAGTTGTAGTTGTTGGGATTTATAGTTCACCTACAATCAAAGAGCATTCTGAACTCGACCAACAATAGAATTGGGTCAAACTTCTCACACAGAATCCCAATGACCAACAGAAAATACTATGTTTTCCGATGGTCTTTGGCGACCCTTTTGACACCCCCTCACGACCCCCTCAGTGGTCCCGACCCCCAGGTTGAGAAACACTGCTCTAAGGCATTACAGGCAGCTTTAATCTAAACAGAGATTAGATTATCCTATACAGTCAGCCTTACACATTTGGAGATTTCAGTTTTGAAGCCATATGGGCTTTCCAAAAATCTCTAGTCTCTCCAGCATGACTCTATGGGCAACTTCCAAACTATAGTCATGCTAGAAGGCCTAGAGATTCCTGGATAGAACAATTCTCTAGACATTTATAGGTTCTCCAGAATGATTATATTAGAAAATGTCCATGGAATCGCAATGCAGGACCAACAGATTGCTAGAGGAATCTTTGCTATGGTTAAAATTGCTATTATTGTGTATTACTGTTATTGGCATTGTTTAAATTGCTATTATTATTTATTACTGTTATTGGCATTGAATGAATGCCTGCTGTGAAGCGGCCCTGAGTCCCCCTCTGGGGGCGAGAAGGATGGGATACAAATATGTGAAATAATAAATAAATAGTGGTTTTTTAATTCACATTATTGCCACTTTCACAAAGGTCCCCTAACTCCAGTGAATGTGGAGGGATGACTGTAGTAATATGAAGGGAAATTGGCATTCCACTTAGAATTCCAAAATATCTGTTTATTTCAGTGTTTCTCAACCTGGGGGTCACAAGGGGGTGTCAGAGGGGTCACCAAAGATAATTAAAAAACACAGTATTTTCTGTTGGTCATGGGAGTTCTCTGTGGGAAGTTTGGCCTAATTCTATGGTTGGTGGAGTTCAGAATGCTCTTTGATTGTAGGTGAACTATAAATCCCAACAACTACAACTCCTAAATGTCAAGTCTATTTTCCCCAAACTCCACCAGTGTTCACATTTGTTCATACTGAGTATTCGTGCCAAGTTTGGTCCAGATCCATCACTGTTTGAGCCCACAATGCTCTCTGGTTTAGGCGAACTACAACTCCAAAACTCAAGGTCAATGTCCACCAGACCCTGCCAATATTGGTCATGGGAGTTCTGTGTTCCAAGTTTGGTTCAATTCCATTGTTGGTGGACTTCAGAATGTTCTTTGATTGTAGGTTAACTATAAATCCCAGCAACTACAACTTCCAAATGACAAAATCAATCCTCCCCAACCTAACCAGTATTCAAATTTGGACATATGGGGTATTTGTGCCAAATTTGGTCCAGTGAATAAAAATACATTCTGCATATCAGATATTTACATTACGAGTCATAACTGTAGCAAAATTACAGTTATGACGTAACAATGAAAATATTGTTATGGTTGAGGGTCACCACAACACGAAGAACTGTATTAAGGGGTCGTGGTATTAGGAAGGTTGAGAAACACTGGTTTACTTGGTGCCCTTGGCAAGGCACTCTCTTAAAGCATTTAGACCTGGCATTTCTTATTTATTTATTTACTGTAAATCAGGTGCGGGCAAACTTTGGCCCTCCAGATGTTTTGGACTGCAATTCCCACAATTCCTAACTGCCCATCGGATGTTAAGAACTGTGGGAGTTGAAGTCCAAAACACCTGGAGGGTCAAAGTTTGCCCGTGCCTAATTTAGACTCTTTTGACCTAATCTTTCCTAGAATACACTCTTTGAATTAGTGACAACTTTTAAAGTTAACACTTAGTAGATTCCACTAATTCAATGGGTCTACTCCAATTCGAACTGGCAACTGAATTGAGGTCTTAGCAGTATATCCTCAGATTAAGCTAGGAACACACATAAAAATAATATGGTACATGCCATGTACTACTGTCACAAAGAAAGTGAAAGAGAGGACGAACCTTTCGTAAAATATTTTTTGAGAGCCTCCTGCAAGAAGAGCGTAGAGATTGTGCTTCATCGGGTGTCTCCATTTCTCTCCAGTTTTCCATTTGAAAGCACAGAGAAACACTCTTTTCCTTCCTGGTAGTAATGAGGTCAAGCCACGATAAGAGCCATTTGCTATAGCCACTGAGTGGAACTACCTGCAAAGAGTCCATGATTATATGCTTCTATGGATTTATGTCTTAATATAGCTAAAAGAAATCTTTTTACTATAGTCATTTACAAAAAAAAATATACAGATCCCTAAAGTCTGTTTCCCTTTTCCCATTTCAATTATATTTAGAGAGAAATTTTCTTATAAGGCTGATCCATTCTTGCATGTCATAATTTACTTTGATTTGACATGCACCTTAAACTTCTTGTCAAAACAGTGAATTACCTTGGAAATGAGGAAGTCTTTTAGAGTACGCATAAAGTCAGGGTTTACTGTAAAGTCTACCGCATAACAGTCTTCAATCCACATCTGCAGAATGGAGAAACTGCGGAAGTGTATTTTGCTAAGCAATGGACAGTTTTCCGGGCTTGAACTGAGAAGAACAGAAAGCTGGTCAGTAAATGGAAATATATGTAAACATTCCAGTAACATTATGTACTTGAAAGAATTATCTAAGATTTTCAGCAAGTGTGTTGTAGTGCTCTGAGCAATGAGCTATGATTTCATAGCCCGGGGTTTAAATTCCTGCTTTCCTCAAAAAAGAGACCTCTGTCTTGTTTGGATTAAGCCTCAGCTTGTTGGCCCTCATCTTGTCCATCACTTATCATTTATCATTTTAAGAACACAAAAAATAAATATATATCTTCTGTTGTTTGAGTTTAATTTAAAAAAAACCTTTAGAAATGTGCATATATTTTTATTCAAGATGAGAGTATTCTGTCAAGGACTATATCTTATACTTTAGAATTATAATTCACAATAACATTCCTAAACCACACATAAGCAAATGGATGCTTGGTCTAAAAAATAAACAATAATTTGCAATTCCACAGAGACAGGACACCGACAGATCAATACTACTAAACTGAAATGTATCTGATTTCAATCCGACTTTAATACATACCTGGGTAAAGTTAAACTGATTCTATCAAGAAGAAATTGTAAAAGTTCTTCTTGTGAGCAGAAATACCGAAAGGTGAAGAGGAACTGTTGAACATAGCCTTCTAAAAATGCATTTCTGCAGAGTACAAGAGTGGGGAAAAATCAATTTTGCAAACTAAAGTGTGCTGTCTTGGAATCAAGCACAGCAAATACAAAGAAGCAAAAGGAATGGATTCAATTACTGCCTGTCACTTGAGTTCTCATATTTTCTATTTTACTTCCAGAAAGAAACAGAGCCTTTTATTGCAAAAGAGGAGCATAAATCCCATGTTTTTAAAAAAATCAGTGGGATTACAATTATTTTCTTATTTAGCCCCTCAAGACAAAAAACTCAAGTCAACTCACAAGATTGAAACATGTACAGATAAAACACACAAAGGAATCACAGAAATTGTAAAGCTAAAAGAATTAATCAAATTACAGTATTAAAAACTATAGGTTTTTTTTCCAAAAAATAAAAGCACATTGAAAGCATCAGCTCATTAAAGCACCTTTCTCAAAAGCTGGTCAGTTGCCAAATGTTTGCCTAAATAAAAGACCTTTATCTTGGCAAGAAGTAAATCTGTTGTATTGTCGAAGGCTTTCATGGCCGGAATCACTGGGTTGTTGTAGGGTTTTTTAGGGGCTATATGGCCATGTTCTAGAGGCATTCTCTCCTGACATTTCGCCTGCATCTATGGCAAGCATCCTCAGAGGTAGTGACGTGAGGATACTTGCCATAGATGCAGGCCAAAACGGCAGGAGAGAATTCCTCTAGAACATGGCCATATAGCCCGAAAAAACCTACAACAACCCAGTAAAACTGTTCTCACATGCTCTATATAGCCAGCATGAGTCAACAGTCTAGCTGTGGCCCTCTGTAATACTCTCCAAGGGCAATCTCATGTCCAAGAGAAGATGGAACTGGGGCTTCAACTACATTGACCATTTAATACAGTTTCAAACAAGTATTCGAAGAAGTGGCTTCCCTGTGCAGCTGATTCCATAGGTAATCCAGAAACCAGTTTGATGCCCAGATGGTAATTACTAGGGGTGTACAAAATTATTGCTACTCTTCATATTTTGTATCAAATTCATTAAATTTGTGCATACGAATCAATATTAGGAACATACAGGAAAGGTGTGTGGGGGGGAATTAAAGAATCGAAACACCCACCAATCATTTTTGTTAAGATTCTGTAAATTCGGATGCCTCCTAAGGTCAGTTTAATTTTCAGTATAAATATTAAACAACATTGGTAAAGCCAAGAGGACATAAAGCGTTTAAAAAACCAATCCTGTTTTTCTTTGGCCCAATCGACATAAGGAAGACACTGGGCGCAGGACTAGCAAACCTGAATAGGAGAATGAGAATGCAGCATTTCTTAGAAATGTAGTTTGGGAAGGCAAGGCCTCCTGTGGGAGAGAATGCAAAAGGCCCTGCCCTAAACTCCTTTTCCCAGAATACAATGCTCAGCATCAGAAAGCCCTAATGGCACCAGCTGTTTAGAGTCAGTCTAGTAATAATAAATAAAATTATTGAATCTGCAAAGAGGACTAAAGTAAGTAATAGTATAAATCTATGCTAAGATGAAGTTTTATGTGGTTGTGTGTCATAAATACAGACATAAATACAGACATTCAAGGGGATTGCTGTTGCCGCTTTTTGGGGGGATAAATTGTTTTTGTCTAAACTTTCAAAAATCCAGAGATGTGTGAATCTTTTTGAAACTTCCATGGATTGATGCCCTGGTTATCATGTGCATTGTATATACAATTCAAATAGATAGCTCTTGTAGTTCTTTTTAATGTTGTTTATAAAAACTTTGAAAATTGCCCCAAAAATCTGTGGATAAGCTAAACATTCTGAAATTTGGTGGGCTAACATTTTACCCATTATATGGGTTCTCACTGCCAAATAATCTGGGATAAATAGAAAACCTGGAATCAGATCCTGAGATATAGGGTTTGTCTGGAAGGGCCCCTAGGCCCCTTTTACACTGCAATATAAAATCAAGATTATCTACTTTGAACTGGATTATATGGCAGTGTAGACTCATATAATCCAGTTCAAAGCAGAAAATGTGGATTATATGGTAGTGTAGAAGGAACCTTAGAGAGGGTTCTATCTGATATCCTGGGAATCAGTTGCTTGACAGTGTATGAAACACTGATTTCAATGGACCAAAGAACTAACCAGATCTCTCTCTGCTCTCCACACAGCATCGACCACATGAACTGATCATAAGTTTAGAATGCCCTTTCATTCCCATGAAGCAGCAGGATAAAGCAGACTTCAGCTCTCACAGATTGTAGACTAAGCTGTACCTGGAGTAGAGATATGCCATTAGCCCAAGTGGTGTTCCAGCTTGTAGATTTCTTGGCTGACTGTTGTTATATTGGGATTTATTATACTGATTTTTATTAATATTATAGAAAAGGAGCATACTGTCCAATGAGCTGATACCCAGTGTTTCATTTCTTGCCATGTTAACCACTTTAAGAAGATTGCATGGTTCAATTCCCCATTTTTCTGTATTTATTATCTGCAACAAAAAGAGACAAGGAAGATGTCTAACCTTCTGACACACAGTCGCACGACCATGAAACAGAGATGGCAAGGCTATGTGGATTCATTCTCAAAGGCTCACACTCAATTCCGTGAAACATACTGTAGTACAGTGTGCACTGGGGCTTGGTTTCAGGACCTCCCATGGATACTATATTCAAGTCCCATTATATATATTGGGGTAATACAATGATGTCCCTTATATAAAATGGCAAAATCAAGAATTGCTTTGGGAATTTATTTGAGGGGTGATGAATATTATCAGGTGATAGATGGCAGAATCCACAACTTGACAATATTTATTTATTTACCTCATTTATATCCCACCCTTCTGACCCTGAAGAGACTCAGGGTGGCTTACAACAAAGGCACAATTTGATACCTTGAATACATATAAAAATAAACAACATACGATTTAAAAATCACATAGATAAAACATATCAATTAAATCATTACTTGAAATCACACAATCTGAAAATATAATAATAATAATAATAATAATAATAATAATAATAATAATCTTTATTTATACCCCGCCACCATCTCCCCAAATGGGACTCGAGTCGGCTTACATGAGGCCAAGCCTAGAAATGCATTACAATACAGTAACAAAAAACATAAGGCAATATCATAATAAAATAAAATAAGACAAGCATAAAATATAGCAAAACAATACAAAATAATACAATAAAAAATCAAACACAATCACAAGGAGCAGGCCAGGTTCAACTGTATTTTTCAACTTAAGGCACTGCATGGTAGAAATGGTATATGGGCATGGAGAAATATTGAAAAAAAAATATCCCAGTCCCCACTCTTAGCTAGGGAAATATATTACTACTTTGGACATTGTCACACTAGAAATAATATCATACGAAAGCTAACTGGCACAATCTGGGAATCACAACCAGACACAGTGAAGACATTTGCCCTTGTGCTTTGCTACCCTGCTGCTGAATACACGTGCCCAGCGTGGAACACATCTCACCACATTAAAACAGTGGATGTGGCTCTTAATGAGACATGCCGCATTATCACAGGATGTCTACACCCTACACCACTGGAGAAATTATACTGTTTAGCTGGTATTGCACCACCTTGGCATCCGCCGGGAAGTAGCAGCCAACTATGAAAGGATCAAGGCAGTGACATCTCCAGCTAATCCTCTTTTCAGATATCAGTCAGCAAGCCAATGCCTTATATCAAGAAACAGCTTTCTAAGATCTATAGAGAAACTTGCAGGAACACCTCAGCAAGCGAGAATCCAAAAGTGGCAGGCAAAAACATGGAACCTCAATGAGTGTCTGATACCAGATGTGAGACTGCTTCCTGGGCACATAGAAGATTGGGCGACTTGGAAGGCACTGAACAGACTGTGCTCTGGCACCATGAGATGCAGAGCCAATCTTAAGAAATGTGGCTATAAAGTGGAGTCCATAACATACGAATGTGGAGAAGAGCAAACCACAGACCACTTACTACAATGCAGCCTGAGCCCTGCCACATGCACAATGGAGGACCTTCTTTGCAGCAACACCAGAGGTACTCCAAGTGGCCATCTTTTGGTCAAAGGACATTTAGTATAATGGTAAGTTTTTAACTTCGTGGTTTTAAAGACATGATAACTGTATATTCAAATCGCTTCTGACGCGATAAATAAAATAAAATTGTCGTGTAAATGTCTGAATTTTGAAGTATCACATAAATTAAAGATTCTATTTACATTTGCAAAGATACTGATTTCCATTTTTTAAAAAATCAACAAATCAATAATCAACAACAAATCAATAATTACCTGTAGATACTTCTTTGCCAGTTCAAGAAAATGGGCCCTTGATCTTGTTTCTTCTAATTGCCTCCTCAGTTTAGGCAACATAGTTTTCACTTCAACACCTCAAGATTTAAAAAATGCAATGAGAACCCATCGGTTGTACCCGCACAATTGATATACAGTAGCTCTGAAGTCTGAGCAGTGGAAACATACCTCTCCTCCTCCAATCTTTATGTAGCAGCCTGTAGTAAAATCTTCTACTCTTACTATAATTTTTTGTTTCAATCATTATCTGCTGCTCAAGTTCCTGGTGGGAGGAGGAAAGGGGAGGAAAAATAATATATTATGCCATCCTTTTTATTAGAGGGAGGATGAAAAGGAGGAAGAATTACCATCGAACACTAAATCTACAAAGTTGCCTATAAATACCATTTACTACTCTTTATCTTATTTCAAAATGATATATAAAACTATGCTGCCACATTTTTTTCTGGCTGCTTCCTATGGTTATACATATAGGCCTAGTTAAAGCATCTTAATTTCAGTCCAATTAAGCTATTCAGAAAAGGGAAATGCAGTATTCCCAGAGCTCATCACCATCCTATGGTCCATGACATCCTAATATAGTAACAGTGATTTTTAGCATCTGCTGCAAAGAAAGTTATAATCACTCCATCATGGTTCAGAGAAACTCCTTAAACTACAGCAGCCTTGTTCAGAAAGCACAGGAAACTGCTTTCATTGTGCCTTCATCCAGACCAGACATGTAATGAAAAGGATGTGTATAGATATATTGTTCTTTATCCATCCAAACACCATGGCTATTGGGCCAAAACCATGTTATTTCCATCAAAAATAACAGGCCAGTCAGTTGAAGTCATATTAGCACATGTCTAAAACTTACAATTTTAAACTTTTTAACATTCTGCATGCAATGTTTAACAATAGCTCCAATAATATTGCCAAGTGTATAGTTTGTTGTAGTGAATCTTCAATGTCTGCTGAAACCAACTTCAACAAGGGCAGAAAATCAGCATGTTAAAATATTTATAACGATACCTAAGAAAAGGCTGGGCTTGTTATAAATATTTGCATCCCAACTATCATGGGACATTTTTTCACACACAAAAGAATGTGTTTTTGTTGCTTGCCTTTGTAAGTGCTTTTTTGCTTTCTTTTTAATGCATAGCAAAGACTGTCAGTGATGAATTAGGATCAATAGGTAGTGCTGGAATACACTCAAAACCTTCCTTCCCGCAAACAGCTGCTTGTTTCTCTTGTGCCCCCCATAAATATCCTTTTTTGGTTGTGTCAGGAGCGACTTGAGAAACTGCAAGTCGCTTCTGGTGTGAGAGAATTGGCCGTCTGCAAGGACGTTGCCCAGGGGACGCCCGGATGATTTGATGTTTTTATCATCCTTGTTGGGAGGCTTCTCTCATGTCCCCGCATGAGGAGCTGGAGCTGATAGAGGGAGCTCATCCGCCTCTCCCCGGATTCGAACCTGCGACCTGTTGATCTTCAGTCCTGCCAGCACAGGGGTTTAACCCACCGCGCCACCGGGGGCAGTGGGTTAAATATCCTAAAGGCAGCAGATCATATCTAAGTATTGTCAAAGGCTTTCATGGCCAGAATCACTGGGTTGTTGTAGGTTTTCAGGCTGTATGGACATGTTCTAGAAGCATTCTCTCCTGATGTTTTGCCTGCATCTATGGCAGGCATCCTCAGAGATTGTGAAGTCCTCACAACCTCTGAAGATGCCTGCTATAGATGTAGGTGAAATGTCAGGAGAGAATGCTTCTAGAACATGGCCATGCAGCCCAAAAAACCTACAACAACCCAGATCCTATCCAATCTTGGTTTATCACAGTTAGCCCTGGTAAGTACAGCGGTCATATCCAAGGATTTTGTTTCTGCAGCTTGAACATATTATATCCCCCTCCTCCCCAAAAAATCCAAAAACAAACCTCTATTTTACAATTTTATATAAAGGGCACCATGGATTTTGGTATCCACTGTGTGTGATACATTGGGGAGAGAAAATCAGGAACCAAACCCCATCAGATCTCAAGGACCTGCTCTATTTGGCTGAGGGACTGCCAACCAATGCCAGGTGTGGTAGGCTGTATTTCTCCTCCTTTACTATTTAGCATTAAGTAGGGACCAAACATTCCCTACAACAACTTTGTTCATCATACAGAGTTGATGTACCAGACTACACATTCTATACTTGCCCCTATCTGCATCACAAATGGGTCTTGGAAAAGGTGGAACTGTGGCTTTTAGTGAAGCTAAATGCCAAACCATTGAAGGTAATGGAAGAGGACATCTAATGCCTTAAAAGCAACCAATAGCAAGCAAATGTGATGGCATTACTTTAGTTTTGAAAGAATCAAGAGCTGCATGTGTATACCTACCACTATCTTAGCACCTATATTTTGAGTTCCACTGTCCCTCCGCTTTCCAAGTTTTCTAATGTAGTCATGAACTTCCAAACTAAAACATTCTGATCCATAGAATGCGCTTCTCCAACCAGGACAAAACCCATTGAGTTCAGACAAGCAGGGTGAACCAGTGTAAATATCTTCCTCTTTGAGTATGAAAAGTTCTTCTTGGCTTTGAACCTCTTCTGGAAAATCTGGACTGAAGTAGGTTGTATTGGTCTGCAAACATTCTTCCTCCATTTCTGTTCTGACTTCTTTTTCAGCATTATCTTGTGGAAAGTCATCGGAAACAGAAACTAAACCAAAAAGAACAAAATAAAAATCAGTAAAGTGGTGGTGGAAAAGATAATATGTTGAATGGCATTGTGATCTATAAATGGCAATAACTGTCAAATTGTATATGAATGAACATTCATATTTTTTAAAAAATATAACCTAGATTTTGCAAGTTTTCACAGCTGGTGTTGCACTCCAGGCCAGGAAAGCCCTCTGAAGTAAAAAAAAAACACTCCATAAAAATAGGTAAATCCAATTAGGTAGAAAGATAAGCAGAAACAGACAGTCCAGGAAATTAGTCCATTAGAGTTCATGAAAAATAAATACAGAAACTTCCAAGGTAAAACTCCAAAATTTAAATCATGAATCTATCCAAGGCAAGGCTTCCAAGGACCAGGAAAGACGTCTTGACTCATTTCTAATGTTGCTTCGTCTGACTATTGATTCTGTACTTGGCACTAATCTATTCTGTACTTGGCACTAATCCCCTAATCTATTCTATGTCCCAAGCAGCCAGGAACAGATTTCATTTCAGCCTTGATTCTGTTATCTCTCAGTCTGGCAGAACACTGGAGAGATTGGTTTGTTTGCCTGCACTGACTGAAAATATGTCTTCTATCTACTGGCTCATTAATTGCTGCAGCTGGGCCAGGTGCCGAGCTTTTCTCAAGCTCAACATCCTGGGAATTCTCTGGTAGCAATTCAGGCCCTCTTCCAGGGACCATACCATCATCCCCAAATTCTTCAGGCTCATTCTAATCAGAAAAGACATTTTAAGACACCATTGTCACTCTCTGCATCTAAAGCAGCGTTTCTCAACCTGGGGGTCGGGACCCCTGGGGGCGGGGTCGTGGGAGGGTGTCAGAGGGGTTGCCAAAAACCATCAGAACACAGTATTTTCTGTTGGTCATCTGGGTCCTGTGTGGAAAGTTAGGTCCAATTTTATTGTTGGCGGAGTTCAGAATGCTTTTTGATTGTAGGTGAACTATAAATCCCAGCAACTACAACTCCCAAATGTCAAGATCTATTTTCCCCAAACTCCACCAGTGTTCACATTTGGGCATATTGAGTATTCATGCCAAGTTTGGTCCAGATACATCATTGTTTGAGTCCACAGTGCTCTCTGGATATAGGTGAACTACAACTCCAAAACTCAAGGTCAATGCCCACCAACCCTTCCAGTATTTTCTGTTGGTCATGGGAGTTCTGTGTGCCAAGTTTGGTTCAATTCATCATTGGTGAGTTCAGAATGCTCTTTGATTGTAGTGAACTATAAATCCCAGCAACTACAACTCCCAAATGACAAAATCAATCCCCCCCAACCCCCACCATTATTCAAATTTGGGCGTATTGGGTATTTGTGCCAAATTTGGTCCAGTGAATGAAAACACATCCTGCATATCAGATAGTTACATTACAATTCATAACAGTAGCAAAATTACAATTATGAAGTAACAATGAAAATAATTTTATGGTTGGGGGTCACCACAGCTTGATTAACTGTATTAAGGGGTCGCAGAATTAGGAAGGTTGAGAAACACTGATCTATAGCAACCTGATCATTAGAAACATCATTGTCATTCCCAACATCCAGAGTACCCTGATCATTAGACACAATCACAGGTTGAACTCCAACAGCTGGAAACATGTGAGATTAGGATTCATTTTTGTTATATTATTTTATGTTCAGCATGACTGTAGCCACACTGCAGAATTATAGCAGTTTGCCATTACATTAACTGCTCAATGCTATGGAGTTCTCGGATGTGTAGTTTTGTGAAATATTTATCCCATTCCATCATAGTGCTCTGGAACCACAACAAAATACACATTTCCAGCTTCCATAGGATTAAGCTAAAGTTAAAGTAATATTGAATTGCTATAATACTGCACTGTGGATTGTTTCTAAGATATACTTCACAAAGAACATCTTACAAATCTCTGAAGTGCAGATCCACAAACACTGTATTTCTCCAATTTTAAAACCCACTTTTTCCATTATGAAAAATTGGATGCTTCTTAGAATTACAGTTGTATCTTATATATTTTTGTTGGTGGTGGTGGTACTGAAATTAGGGTGCATCTCACAATCAATAGCATCTTACAATGGAAGAAAGAAGGGTATTATGGAATAGCTTTTCCCAATGAAGGTTAAAGTTATTCTGCTGTCCTCTCTTTTGGAAAAGAATACAAAACTCTATTCTTATAGAAAGCTTTTAGTCACTATGACTTTTATGTTACGCCTCCTGCAGAGTGTAAAGCTCTCATTAGCTGTCCAGTTCGTATACCTTTCCCAGTTGACCCTCTGCTATCCTACATTTTCAGCTGCTTTTAAAATGTTTCAGTTTCTCTCTCACCCTCTCACTTTCCTTTTGCTTCAGTTGATGCAAACTGAGTTAAAAGTGCAGGAGAGAAAACGAGAGGGGAGGGCAAGATCTTGACATTCCCAGTAGGTTTAAGCAAAAGCAAACTGCTGCAGGCCCTGTCTTTTGACATCTTGGCTACCCATTGACTGGCCCAGTTTCCATCAGTGAAATGTTGAAAGATATGACTTCATCAAAACAGTTTAAGCCAAGAAAGTCGTCAACTTGGACCAATAACTTCAGGCTAACACGTGGTCTTATTATCCACAGCACAAAACATTCTCATTAGCCTTTGCTTACCATTTGTTTCTTCACTGGTATTCAGAAAGCTCTTAGAGGTTTTTTGGCCTTGAAATATATCACCATGACGTTTTGTTTCATCCATTCTGAAAAGCAAGCAGAAAGAAGGGAAAAGAAATAATAACATTTTTAAAATTTATAAATGAAATATTTGTTGTGGGGAAGTTTGCGATATATACACATGCTTCCAATTTTTAATTTAAAATAATATTTAAAAATTAGTTGTGATAAGAGGACAAAATTTTAACAGGAGATAGTTATATGAATGATGAGTCCAGACAATGGCATACTAAAGCTTCTGGCTTCTATGGCTTGATGTCATCATATAAATAGGTCTCATCTTCTGAGTATGTTGGGTATCCTGATACAATTCTCAGGGGAATTAAAGAGATGCTAATGAAGAATGCAGATACCATATACCACATAAATGGTTATGTGGACTGATGGAGTAAACAAGAGTTCAAACCTTTGTGCCAAAGGAAAAGTTAAAATGAATACAGACAAAGAAATAGGGGCCACAGTGGCACAATGGGTTAAACCCTTGTGCTAACGAATTGCTGATCTGAAGGTTGGCAATTCAAATCCATGTGATGAGGTGAGCTCCTACTCACCTCATCACAGCTCCTGCCAACCTAGCAATTTGAAAATATGCAAATGTGAATAAATAGGTACTGCTTCGGTGGGAAAGGCATAAGACACTCCAAGAAGTCATGCCAATCACACAACCAGAAGGTGACACGATCAGAAGCTCCTCGGCTTGGAAATGGAGAACAGCACCTCCCCCAGAGCCAGAGAAGATCGCTGACTCCAAAGCCGGAAATGAAAGGAGAAGCATTTGCCTTTGTTTGTGTTTGTGTGTCTCATTATATTATAACAAAGCATTGAATGTTTGCCGGTATCTGTTTATACTGTAATCTGAACTGAGTCCCCATGGGGAAAAGGGTGAAATATAAATAAAGTATATTATTTATTTATTATTTGGCAAAAATAGAAGTTTCCTCTTGCCTATCAAAATCACTATTTACTAGAGTAATGGCTTTCAAAGAGTATTCTGGGAAATAGCTCAGAAATTCATCAAGAACTTCTCAAAACACAAAAGAAGAAATGGTAGAAAAAGGTTTCCTGGATTACCACTATTACTATTCTGCCGAAGTGCCTAACAACAAAGTGGGTGTTAAGCATATTCCAAGTTTGTGTTCACTTCGATGGACCACCACATCTCACAGACCAATTTAGCATGTGGCCCAGAGAGTAGGAAGCAATGTGATAATAATTCTGTAGCAGACAGATGTGGAAAAAGCTCCCTTAAGATAGAATGTTTAAAAACTAGTTCATTAGAATGCAGAATAAAAAAAAAGCAAGATACTACAGAGATTGTGTACAAGTGTGTGTTTTGGATAGGCAGTATACATCCTTCCAAGCTTTTCCCCTCAAGAGTCAATTTCCCACACATTTTTAGTTGTATCTACATTACATTCACTGACTACATTAACACTATGAAAGGTTAATAACCCTCTTCTGTAATGTATGAAAATACCTTGTGTCAACAATTGCCTGTAATCTGTATTATACGCTTCTGCCTATCACACTATACAATGTAAGCACAAGGTATTCTATAATATAAGTTGCTATGAAATTGAGCCTTCCTTGCACTTCATGCTAAAGGTAAAAGGCAAATAACTTTAGTTAATATTCAACTACCCCACAGAGAGCAAATTGCATAGTGTGAAGAGTAGGCTCCACTTATGATTTTACAAGTTGCAATTCCTGACTGTTTTATAGCTTCTCACGGCCTTAGCAGCATCAATGTTTATGTCCACATACATACATCACAGCCAATTTAAAATTCTGCACAATTCCTAAATGCTAAAATCCTTTCCTATTGAATGGCTTCCCCAAGGTGTGAAGTTTCAATGTCTTGACTGAAATCTAAAGGTTACAAATTCAGGTCCCAGAACTGGTGGTTTTAAAAACCTAATTAAATAGGGGAAGTAATTAAAAATGAAGGCATATTATGTTGCAGTTACTGTATAAAATATTTATACTGTCAGAGTGTGACAGAAGCTTTGAAACTTAGAAGAATGGACACTTTGAGACTTCAGTAAAAGCAAACATAGCTTTACTGAGTAGAGCAAATATACAGCACACACTCGCATTGACACCCAACCAAGAAGGCAGAAACAAGACAAAAGCATCGAAGTAAGAAAGATGAACGAAATCTTATCTCTGGATCCTCCCTACACATTCCAGGCACACTCAGGGTCACAACTTCACAGCTCATTTGAGGCTTGACTGATTAACCCTTTCCGAGTCAATACACTCTCTGCTAATGCAATCAGGTTACATTCACAGGCACTGAACAAAATTACATTTAAACATTCACATTACACTAACCTTACATTAACAGTTACAAATTCAAAAACTAGATTGTGAAGCCATGCTAAAATATGAGCGGTCCACTGGTTAAGAACGACTGCCTTAGACCAATGCTTTCCTCCCCATATAAAATGGGGCAATCCCTGCTGTGCTATTAAGAACTCTATTGAGATAAGAGAACATACAATATCATGGATGTGTAAACTCAATATATCAGGAAGCAGGATTCGTATTTGTTCTTGCAGGCAGAGGAGAAGAAATCCCAAACATCTCTGCTACATTATTCATGTCTAGTTGTATCTGAGATCAAAAAGAAGTTGCTAGTGCCTAAAATCAGAAAGAACATTTAATGATGTTTGGAATCACTTACTTTATAGACAGAGAAGGTCTATCATTTGCTGCATCATAAAGGTTTGCTAGTAATTTTTCTTTCCAATTAAACTCACAAAATTTTTCAGAGACTGCAGTACAAAAGGTGTTATATTGCAGATCCTTTATACCAATAATATATTTACCTGGTTTAGGAAAGAGAACAGTAAATTAAATTTCTTTTTTAAAAAGAAAGAAAACACACACACACTACTAATCTCTTTTATGTTTGGGCAAAATTGCTCAAATTTATTTTAGAGAAAATGAACGGATAACTAAAATGAGAATATGTATAGATATAGATATCCTGCATAGAATTATAGGAATGGATCCAGAGAAACTTTTCCTTCTATAAAAAGATTTTGGAAACTTAAATCCATCGTACACACAAGCCCTATCAACACTGCCATATAATCCAGATTATCAAATCGGATAATCAACGCTATCTGATTCAAACTGGATTATATGAGTCTACACTGCCATATAATCCAGTTCAGTTCCAGACAGGCCCTATATCCCAGGATCTGATCCCAGGTTTTCGGCTTTAAACTGGATTATGCAACTCTGTACTGCCAGATAATCTGGTATAAACAGAAAACCTGGGATCACATTCTGCGATAAAGGGCCGGTCTGGAAGGACCCTCAATTAATGAGAACTTGATAAGTCAACTCTTAGGCAAATTTAATTGATTCGATGTTCAATTCTTGATGTTAACAACTGGATTTAAGCCCAAAAGTATAAAGGGTTAATGATGTCAAACATAATTAGAACAAATTACCATATACCCTAAATTATAGTCTGTCAATGAATCTGATATATTGTGTTTTTGCATACCTATAGCCACAATTTCATTCGTATTCTCCCAGGATGTATTAAACGGAAGCTCTTCTTGGATGAGATGTACAATGTTCTTCAAGATAGGTTCGTTTATCCCATTATTTGGATACGAGGTTCCACCCATGACTGGAGAAGTTGTTTTCTGATCCATGTAGATATGTGATGTGTGATCTGATAAGGAGCCATTGCTCTCTGCAGCTGTACCAGGCTCAGTGTTAATCATGTGCAATGCAGCCTTTTCAAAACACTTCATCTGAGTCTCTTTATTAATGGTTGCTGGGGGCAAACTGTTAATCTGGGCTTTCATGTCCCAAAATTCATTTTGTACATTCGTAGGCTTGCAATTTCTCAGATGGTTCAGAGACGATTTCTGCTGCAGGGCCTTATCAGCAGCATAGCTCACAATCGAATCTGAAAGGAGGACATGTAAACTAGAACAACTGTAAGCTGTCCGTGAATGGAGGGGTTGGTTTGGTATTTGCTCTGAAACAGCGATCTGTACCGGTACGAGTGTTAAAACCCTTGTCTCTGGGTCTTGCTTTAAAAGAAAGTTATTTATAAAAGTCAAACTAGATGACACAGTACAACTTGAAATGCTTGAAGAAGGTGATTGTGAAATGCATATCTCTTGAGAGACACATGAAGATTTAGAGAGCAATGGCAAGCTATCCATGCATGAGCTAGTGTTTAAATGTTTTTGCATATCATGCTGAAGAATATCAGATGTCATAGAAGTAATTGGCAAATCAGTGCCTTCAACTTTTTGATTTTCAGTGTTAATATTTAAATCCAATGAATTTTTCTCATTGGGTTGTTGTAGGTTTTTCGGGCTATATGGCCATTTTCTAGAAGCATTCTCTCCTGACGTTTCGCCTGCATCTATGGCAAGCATCCTCAGAGGTTGTGAATTTTTCTCATTCACAGGTACCACTCCCTCCACAATTGTTTCATGCTGTACCATCACAGATGCAGTGGTATTTCTGAAAAATAAGTGAAATGGTTTGTAAGAGATAATTCAAACTTCTCAGAACCAAACATGTCGGAAACATGAAGAATTTCAACAAATGTGACTTGATTTATAGGAGACATGGAACAGTTCTGTCAATGTAATCCTCCCGCAAATTCTCTTTTAGGTTCTGATTATTGCATAATTTAAATGTTTACATCATTCCCTGTCCATATTCCACTCCCCCTAGTGAGAAAAGTTTAAAGGTCTGGGTTGATGTAGGTTTTTTCAGGCTATATGGCATATTTTAAAGGTCTGTTTTACCGTAATAGTTCCTAGGCTATGCTCCGTCATTCCTGCTTCTGCTTTTCTAAACTATGTATCGATTTATCTCTCATGTTTGGGTAGTGGAAACGTAGTTTGTCATGATGCTGGGCTTTTGTAGTTTTCAAGATTTTTTTTAATGTTAGGAGTGACTTGAGAAACTGCAAGCCCCTTCTTGTATGAGAACTGGGCGTCTACAAGGATCCTGCCCAGAGGACTCCCAGATGTTTTGATGTTTGACCATCCTTGTGGGATGCATGGGAAGCTGAAACTGACAGAGGGAGACCATCTGTGCTCTCCCTGGATTAGAAACTCTGACCTGTCAGTCTTTAGTCCTGCCAGCACAAGGGTGTAACCCATTGCACCACCAGCGGCTCTGTTTTCAAGAGGTGGGGGAAAGGGTATCTTCAAAAATATTATAAGGTTTCAGTTTCAGGTTGGATCCAGGGCTATTCCTTATATCTCACTGCAGGTCTCCATTTGTTACCCACTTTTAAGACATTAGTTCACGACACCCCTATTAAAGCAACTCCATTGCCTGCCGATAAGTTCCCGGTCCCAATTCAAAGTACAGGTTACAAAGCCCTAAACAGTTCAAGTCCTGTCTATCTTCATGCCCACATCTCCCCCTATGAACCACCAGGGAAGCCCTCCTCTCACTCACACTACTGTCACAAGCACGGTTGGTGGGGATGAGGGAGGGAGCCTTTTTGTTGGTGCTCCCCGACTTTGAAACACCCTCCCTAGGGAGATTAGGCAAGCCCCCACACTGTCCTCCTTTTGCAGGGATCTGAAAACCTGGATATTTCAGCTAGCATTTGAGAATGGCTAGTCCCTAGTTATGAATGCCTAGTCCCTGGCTGTCCTGATATTTTATTCTCTGCACTTCATCCAATACTCCGGCCCTACGGTATATGGCTTTGCACTATCCCATGCCTGGTCCTTTTTATAGCCCATTGTATTACTGGTTATTGGTTTTGTTGAGCATTGTTTTAATTGAGTTTTAACACTGCAGTTTTATATTCTTATGTTTTATTTAATTGTGTTTAAAAGCACAAGGGGTGCAGACCCAAAATGAATAGGAACATCAGCTCTAGCCTTGTCTTACTCAACTGCCGAGTATGCCTGCCCTGTTTGGCATAAGTCTGCTCACACAAAGCAGGTGAACATAGCACTGAATGAAACATGCAGAATAATCACAAGATGACTTAAACCTACACCTGTCGATAAACTCTACAAGCTAGATGGCATTGCCCCCCTGATTTGTGATCGGAAGTTGCTGCCAAATGTGAGAGAAATAAGGCTGAACACTGCGAAAGCCATCCACTACATGGCTACCAACCTCCTCCCAGTAGACTCAAATCAAGGAAAAGCTTTATGAGAACTACCACTCCTCCTGGCATCCCACCAGCAACAGCAAGGATATCCCTCTGGGCAGTTAATCCCACACCTTGTGTGACTGTGGAGCAGAACAGACAACTCCGCATCTGTATGCTTGTCCACTATGTCCTGCCTCATTTACAGAAGAAGAATTGTTGGAGGCTGCAGACAATGCCATTGCTGTTGCCCGTTTTTGATCAAAAGATATTTAGCCACCTGTGTTGCTTCTATTTTTATCAGTTTTATACTAATTCATGCAATGCTTTTGATACAAAATAAATAAATTTAATTGTGTTTTATCTGGATTGTTATATACCACTATGCTCTAATGTTAATTGTGTTTTAGCTTTAATCTATTGTTTTGCTTTTATGTCTTGTTGGCATTTTGTTCCATATGTAAGCCGCCCCGAGTCCCTTCAAGGAGATGGTGGTGGGATATAAGAATAGTTATTTTTGTTGTTTTTGTTATATCTGTTTAGTCTTTTACTTAAGTTGTATTTATCTTTACTGTTCTAATGTAGCATAAATCTTATGTAAAATCATATTTTGTATTTTGACATTAATATTGGAAGGTGAAATATATACAGCAAGCATCCAAATGACAAATGTGTACATCTAAAAACAGAATGAGCATTGCACATAAGGGCCCCATCACACTGCTCTGTTATAGATTATCCCACTTTGGGCTGAAATACTCCCATTGTCTTCTTGTCCAGAAGATACATTTGGAAACTTTTGCTCTTACTTTTGATTAAATACAACTTACCATGTTGCATAAACTCAGAACCATAATTAATCTTAATTATAACCGGCTTAATCAAATCAGGCATAGTTTGAAGTTGGCTCACCTGGCACTAACCATGATAAAGAGTAACCATGTTTCATCAGGTTCAATGAAAGAAAAAGCTGATGTTAATTAAAAGTGGCAAATGAATGTCTCTTCATTCAGATGAGAAAACGGGAGGGGGAAACAAGAGGAGCAAGTTCAGCAGATGGGCTGATGGGAACCCCCTAGCATTTTAGATGTTTCTGGACCATAATTCCTAACATTCCTCACCATGTGCTATCCCGATTAGAGTCGACTGGAGCTGCAGTCTAACAATATCTGGAGGAGAGCAGGATTCCCATCACTGCTCTAAAATAGCTTAATATGATGTCCAAACACTGCCAGAAGCAAAACAAAGACCCCAACTGCAAACGCAGAATAGATTAGCAAGCATGATTAACTTCAACTGAAACACAAGTCTTAGCGGTATAATTAGCTTCACTTCAGTCCAAGAGCAGATACCTTTTTTAAAAAATATGCTTAATTTGTGCCACATTGATTGTGGCTTTTTACTCTTCAAACATCACAAGGGCATACTTACTTTTTACTATCCACATTTTGATGCAGGATAATTGGCTTAAAGTGTGTTGCTGAAGAAGTGAAAGCATATGGCAATGCAGTGTTTTCTCTATTTAAAGGCAGCTGGCAGGGGACTGGTCCTTTTACTGCTTTCAGTTTACTTTCATTGCTCATAGGTAAAAATCCTAACATGCAAACAGGATGAAGGCAAAGACAAAACAATGTATTTAGTAGAAAGGCAGGACAAACAATTGCTGACACACAAAGAAGCATTTCCAAGAGGATTAGACTCAATTGCTAACTGTGTTCTCATAGAACATAGGCAGCAATACATGTTGTTCTACAGTAGTACTTACCCAAATTATCGTCCATTGAATGTCTCTCATTTTCAGAATCATTAAAAGAATACACTTCTTTGAAATCCTAGCAGCAAAACAATATAAAATGCATTAGAAATGTGATCATTAAAATTGACAATAAAAACATTATTTGTTTGAGTTTTACACTCTTTTGTCCTGAGGGCTCAACTCAATACCAAGCACAAAGTAGCTGCACGAAATAACATCCTGTGGAAACTTACTGGCACCACATGGGGTGGAGACCCTAAATTAGTAAGAACACCAGCCCTAGCCTTGTCTTACTCAATTGCCGAGTATGCCCGCCCTGTTTGGCATAAGTCTTCGCATGCCAAACAGGTGAATATAGCACTGAATGAAATTTGCAGAATAATCACATGATGTCTTAAACCTACACCTGTTGATAAACTACAAGCTAGCTGGCATTGCCCCCCACCCCCGCCCGATGTGTGATAGGAAGTTGCTGCCAAATGTGAGAGAAATAAGGTTGAGCACTGTGAAAGCCATCCACTTCATGGCTACCAGCCTCCAACTTGGAAGTCCCTGAACAGACTCAGAAGCGGAGTGGGCAGATCAAAAGACAACCTGGCAAAATGGCACTACCTAAAAGAATCCCACACCTTCTGTGACTGTGGAGCAGAACAGACAGCTCTGCATCTGTATGCTTGTCCACTGTGCCCTGCCTCATGTACAGAGGAAGAGTTGTTGGAGGCTACAAACAATTCCAGTTTTATACTAATTTATGCAATTCTTTTGATATATAATAAATAACTCAATAATTTCAACTTTTAGCAGAAGAATGAAAGCACAGATTATGGACTTTGAACCCAATGTCCTTTGTTCCATTTCATATGAAAGCTACACTGGATTAATAATGATCTAAGACATGCATGGACACTCCCTGGAAGGAATCCATTGTCTTATTTTAAGACCACTATCTCCTCAAACATCAAATGGATTCAAAATAAAGGTACTGTGGAAAATAATATTATATTTCTCCAAATGTAACAAAGGAGAGAGCAGGGGGGAATCAGGCTATACAATAAGGTTGCTGGAGCATACCTTCTTTTGGTCATTTGAACTAAATAACAAACAAAATGGTCTTGAAAAGATCCCAGGCTATAAAACCACTATGGCCAGACAAAAGATGAATCTACAGATTAGATTACAGTATGCTCCAATTCTGGTGCCATGACAACAACAAAAGTAGAAAATCAAGTGAGGCACCTTCAGGTCTGTCTTCCTTTTCCTATTCTTGCACTTTCATAAGGCACATAATTTAATCAGAAGAGCCACCAGCCAACTGTACCAGACTCAGTGCTCCTTAAAAAAGACATACTTCTATGAGCAAACCATAATATTATGGGTTTATAACTAATGGAATATAAACCACACAAGCCAAGAGTAGGCTCAGTTTGAAACTGTTCACTTCCAAAATGTGTAATCACCTTCCTGGACACAAACTGGTTCCAGGTATGGCAAAGAAACAGATTCCTCACAAACTGGATACAAACTGGATTATAGTGGAGGGTAGAAGTACTCCATTTGGGATCCTTTAATGAGCTTCAGTAGGAGAGGTATCTACAATCCGCTCTGCATTTTGTGGAGCTGATTTTGCCCAGAGTCTGGAATACACTGGCATCTGCTGCTGAACATTTTTTGACTGAGCTCAGACTTTCCTGAAACTTTAAAAAATGCACTGTATGCCCTTAGATGTGTGCTGGAGTGTGTATTGCCATTGTGCATTTTCTGGCCACCATGGTCTTGAGTTGGCTTCAAACTGCTTTATATGGTCAGTGTAGAAGGGCCCTCACTACTTCGTGGTTTGCTTTTTGCGGACTCACTGTTTCACGGGTTTTTGCCTCCTAGTTTATGAATGGTTGCCATTGCCTAGAGCGGCGTTCTAATCCCGCCTCCTAGCAATGATGGATTGTGGAAGGAGGCTTCATCCTCCCTCTTGGGACAGAGGCAGCCAATCAAGAGAGATTGCAAAGCAGAGATAACTAGGGGGGGAAAGTGTGCAGTGCCTTTAAATCTCTCCTTGCTTCTGCCTCACCCTTGGAATTTGATATGCATATATAGCATCCCTACTTCATGGATTTTCACTTTCCACCAGTGTTCCTGGAACGTAACACCTGCGATAAGTGAGAGAACACCGTACATGTTTGGAGTTGCATTGTATACAAGCTATGAATACCTGAATCATGTCCACAGATTATAGCCATTTACATTAAATAGCATTTTAAATTACAGTTGCCTCTCCATATCTGTGGGTTTAGCTTTTGTGGATTTGATTACTCACAGATGTTATTATTATGTTCTCACTAGAAATGTCAAGATCCTACAGTGTAATTCTTTAATTACGTTCTATTGGAAGTTGACCAGAAAGTCATGTGGGAAGACCTAGAGATACCTTGAGAAAACATTTCTAAACATTTGTAGCACAATTCTATAGTCAACCTTTGGTGGATGTCGAACATAGAATTGCACCAGAGGGCCTAGAGATTCCTAAAGCTGTGTCTTCCCATGTAAACAATACCTTAGTACTCAATGAAAGAAGAGTATGATATTTATTTCTTTTCCCCTATTACTCCATGTAATCAAGACCTTAAACATGGTTTGAAAACTGTTTATTGAGCTAAAGTAAAAACAAAACAAAACAAAGAACAGAAAAGTTTGCAAGGTCAAGATTGAAAATTAATATATTAATTAACAAATGCACATAAGCAAAAAAGCAATACCTGAAAGGCATATTTGGTTAAAAAGGCCAGAACCTTCTTGCTATTTATACTTTCTTCAAGCAGATAGCTGTCACATGTCTAGAAATATGAAAAATTACAATACAGTAAGTAGGAAAATGGTACTTTCAACAATAAAATATTGTAATTATCTTCATTTAGAAAGTTGACTCTGTAACAATTAATCTGAAACTGTTACATTTCAATATTAGTTACAGACACAAATATATGCTCAAGGGGTCCATTAAAGCTACTATTACCACTTCATTTGGAATTGTTATGTAAAGCATTTGAAATTCATCTTCACTACATGGCAGAACTCGTTTTTTAAAAAGATCTCTAACAGCTTAATTCAATTCACCTTAATTGCATCTGCCAGAGAAGGCCTGTCTTCTGAATTTCTTCTTGCCATCTCCAGAAGAAAATTCTTTAGTTTCCTTGGCAACACCAGTTTGCGATCAGCTGGAAAATTACATTTTGCTGCTCTCCACAAAATTGCAGCAATACAGTAAATACAGACCTGTTGGAAATGGCACAGTGAAAAGGCAAGTAAGTCACCGGACAACTCCTACTTAGAGCACACCTTGGTTTAAAATACATATACTTAAAGCACTCTGTTTCTGGGCATAATAATCTACAAATGGCTGTGCTGATACCTTGGGGTCAGGATATGACACAATGCAACAGTGCATTTTTCCTGATTCCTGAAACCATGCCACAACCATCAATTTGCTACTGCTGAGATGCACTTCTCAGTGCCAATAATGCCACAACCAACTTGGAAGATACTACTGCTATGTGGGAGCACTTTAAATCCAGTTAAATGTGAATTACAGGGACAGCGTGACGTAGTGATGTGGGCATTCAAATCCCCTTTCGGCCATAAAATTAATGGCACCGGGCAAGTCATGCTTTCTCAGCTTCAAAGGAAGGCAACAGTAAACAAACTCTTTCTGAATACATTGTCGAAGGCTTTCATGGCTGGAATCACTGGGTTATGGTAGGTTTTCCGGGCTATATACCCATGTTCTAGAAGCATTCTCTCCTGACGTTTCATCTGCATATATGGCAAGCATCCTCAGAGGTTGTGAGGATGCTTGCCATAGATGCAAGTGAAACGTCAGGAGAGAATGCTTCTAGAACATGGTCATATAGCCCGAAAAACCTACAACAACCCAGTCTTTCTGAATATATTTAGCAAAAACAATAACCTAGAATAGGGTCACCTTAGGGTTGCTAACGTTGGAAATAACTTGAAGGCATGCAACAACAAATGTGAACTATTGGAAGGAAGTTGTAGAACACAGGATGGGACTTACATTAAATTAAATTATATATATAGGGCTATATGTGGATGTACTGAAGTGCCCTTTCTCAACATTATTAAAGTGCAGACCTTTGAGGTTAAAAGCTACAAATAGTATCAATACACGTAATTGTCTTTTTAAGCAATGAAAGGCACAATTAAATTACATTTTAAAAGTAACATAACAAATCTTGGTTAATTTATGAATGTAATGACTTTTTTTCATGTCAGGAGCAACTTGAGGAATTGCAAGTTGCTTCTGGTGTGAGATAATTGGCCATCTGCAAGGATGCTGCCCAAGGGACGCCCGGATTTTTTGCTGGTTTACCATCCTTGTGAGAGGTTTCTCTCATGTCCCCGCATGGGAGCTGACAGAGGGAGCTCATCCGTGCTCTCCCCAGATTCAAACCTGTGACTTGTTGGTCTTCAGTCCTGCTGGCAAAAGGGTTTAACACATTGTGTCACCTAGGGCTCCTAATGTAATGACTAATGTTGGTAATAATTAATATTTTCCTTCCTTCCCTCTCTCTCTTTTTTACAAAGTGACATTTTTAGAAGGTCTTTGATAATAATTTGTTAGGTTTTACAAGACATTCAAGGTATTCTACCTCAAGCCCTCCCCCCAGCAGGAAAGCCATGATTATGAATGATAGAGTAACTTGGATGTCACTCATTCATAAGGTAGCCATGAATTCAAGTTGACCTGAAGGCTGCTAACATCAACAACAAAGTGAAAAATAACAGAAAACCAATGAGCAAGTCAACTAAATAGTATATCACCAACTTCTTAAATTAGCCCAGTGCTTTCAGATACAGTAGAAGATGCTGTCTCAGGCTGCTTCTACACAGCCACACAATCCAGACCACAATGTGGATTTAAAAAAAAAACAGTTCCACTTTGGAGAGTCTCCACGCTCACCCTGAGAACTGTAAGAATCCACATGGCTTTCTTCATGCCAAATCAATCCAGCAGAAACTCATGTTTTTCCTTACCCCATTGGGAGAAATGTGCTGAACAGAAGCAGCCCACTGAATGAGAATCTGCAATGGGATTCATCTTCCACCTCAAAAAAACAAAAAACAAAAAAAAGCCACGGGTTTGGGGGTGGAGTGGAGTGATTTCCTCTTGAGGAGTATTTGTTTACCTTCCTGAGTGCTACATATCTGGATCCTGCATCTAGATATTCCACAGGCAAAGCTGTTTACATAAGCATGCAGGCCTGTAGCGAGGGGGGGGGTTAGGGGTTAACCCCCCCCCCCCCCCGAAATTTTTCAGGTTAAAAAAAAACTGGTTTACTCATGAATTTATTCTGTCATTAATTGCAGCGATAGCTGATATAGCGAAGCAACCAAGTTGGGGGGGGGGGGTGTTGAATGCTCTCATTAAGGAGGCCAGACTTGGTGGAGGTGGTTGACAGGGGCGGAGCTGCAGGCTATTGAAGGCTGCTCTGCCCCCTGCTGTGCTCTTTGCTTCAGCGTGAGCTAAGAGGCAGGTTTCACCCCCCCCCAAATTTTCAACCCCCCCCCCCGAAATTTTCAACCCTCCCGAAATTGTTGATGGTGCCTCAGTGTTAGAGAAATAGCAGGGTGTTGAACTTTTATTTTTGTGTATTGATAACATGCCTTTCTCACAATATGGGACCCAAACCCATTCACAATATAAGTTAAGATGATGGATAATACAGAGTTCACTATTATAGATGGTTCCAGGTATCCATAGAAGATCCTGGAATATACCATTTACAGACACAGGGGTTATATGATGATGATGATGATGATGACTGCTGCTGCTGCTACTACAATACATAATGCCTTAATGGACAGATAACAGTTAATAGACAAAAAATATATTTCTCTGCACAGTGGAAAAAGAATAGAGAAAAGGCCAACACAGCCTCCCATAGGAGGAAATCCCATAGCATGGGAGTAGTCACTTAAAATATAAAATTGTGCTTTCAATGTGCTTTCCTCCATGGAACAGGAGAGGACATTACCTTCATCAGCTCTGGCAGCAAGAATGTCTTGGACTGGTCCGAGAAACAGCAATTAACATATCAAATCTAAACACCCCCTCCCCTAGAATACATTTCAAATTACTAGAAAACTCAACATGCCTGGCATCCAAAGTGCTAACTTGAGATGAAAAACCCATATGGAATAAGAACAGAGTGTATGGAAAGGTCCCAAAAATGATGCCAGCTATTGACCAACATGAAAATAACACAGTATTAGCACATTTGCCGCAGCTACTATAATGGGCTAGGATAAGCCCATTTTCTTCATGCTCCTGCACCCTCAAAACCATAATTACTCAGAAAATAAGGGCAATGTTGTATTGTTCAACCACAAGATTTTTTTCCCATCTAGAAGAGCCAAGAAAGTAAACAATTTGAAATATTTCAAAGAGGCAAAGAGCACATTTTTAAAGCCCTGCAGATTGATGAACCTAGCCCTTTCAGAGGAAACTGGGAAACCGAACTATAACTATCTACTAATTGCATTGAATAATGATGCTGAACTGATATATAAGCATGAGTCATGTACAAAAGAATGTGATATTAACTTCTATATCTCTGGTATTTGTTATATAGTCAGCCCTCTATTCAGATTCCACATCTATGAACTACTATGGCTTAAAAATATTTTTAAAAAGTAAAATTCCAAAAAGGCAAACACTGATTTTGCCATTTTATATAAGGGTCACTATTTTACTATGCTATTGTATATAATGGAATTTGAGCATCCATAGAGTGTGGTATCCACGCAGGAATGGAGTGAGGTGTCCTAAAAGCAAGCTCCAGCAGTTACTATACATCAACTGTGCTTACATTGTTATTGCAAAGCTGAGCTGTTCAGATGGATCAAAGAAACATGTAGACTGGATGGGTACAACATTTGCAAGCACATATTTAATTATTTTTTTTGGATGCAAAAGAGCAAATGGTTATATTCCTCTTGTTTCAGCAGATTTCAGCATTTAGCTCCAGTACTGGCAATTACTTTATTATTCTGTAAGGTCACAATTCCAACTAAAAGAATGTTGCTCACTTTAAATCTTCACAAGTGTGATTCAGCTCAAAGGAACTATGCAAAGGGACATTCGACTGGGTATTTAAAGTGTCCGGCATCTATTCTAAGACCTGTATTTTCAATTTCAGGTTGAACTGAAACTCTAACAAATGAAATTGGATGTCAGTGGCTAAGTAGTTCTATTCAGATTAGATGCATACAGTGAAAATAGATGTATCATAAAACACAGTTAGTTTATTGTCTGATTTTTCAGTTAGATTGTGACCACAAAGATTGTGCTGTCACGCGCTGGGCCTACAATAATTGTCTTTTGAACAGGATGTGTTCTCTTTGTGCCCAGTGGGAAGCCGGGTTGCCTTGGCTGAGAGGCCCTAAGGATTTTCCTATACAAAAGTCTTTAGATGCTTGAAAAGTTTAACAAAGTCCTTTATTATTGCTTCGATCTTCAACAATTTAAACAAACACTTCTCAGATCTTCAACAAGTCAAACAAATGCTTCTTAACTTGGCCAAATGGACAGGTAACTGACTTCGTGAACTGTTTCTTTTCTTTAAAAAGAAAACCCTTTTAACCCCTCCCAGGCAATCTACTTTCTATGCTTGCTGGTGTGAGCTCTATTCCCAGCTCCAATTGCTTCTGGTTACCCGAGTAGACCTACCAGCCAAGGCTTGTAGATTCTCCAGCTGGAGTTCTTTTGGATCTTTTCCACGAAAGATGTGGAGCTGTTTCCCCCGGATGCTGTGAGAAACGAAGTTTGTCTACAGATGGAGCTGATCCACATCCTGTAACTAAGCTTTCTACTATAAGACTGAACTAAAAATGGTTCCCTTTCCCTCCCAGAGCCCTGGAAAAAGGGGCAGAACCAAAACTTAACAATGATAGACAGGTCATTGGCCCTATAATTGCAAACCAAGGGAAGCCACCTTACTGCAAAATGCATTGAACCTTGGAATATATGCAAACACTCAATAGAAAGAAAATGAAGCTGAAGCTCCTGGTACAGCCGTACCAGAACAAAGATGTAAAATTACTGCTTATTATAAAGCCACCTTGACTCCTCCCTGGGGTGAGAAAAGTGGGATATAAATATGGTAAATAAATAAATAAAATTAAAATCCCTACTCTGTGCATACACTGTTTTAGATACAGGACTTTTGGTTATTATTGTTTTGCTTTTTAATAAATTGAGAAACTATCAGATTGATTTTAACCAGCACTCAGCTACACAATAATTGAGATATCGTGTATTAAAAGACAAAGCTTTTATTGAGCAATGAGCCTGTCTCATTCAGAGACTTTCAAGGAGATATCTTCTGTCTTTAACTCTCCTTATTCAAATGAAGCGTTAAGGAAGGAATAATGAAATAGCTCACCTTTTGATCGCTATAAGAGACTTTCATCTGGGAGAAAAAACCTGATCAGATATATGTAAAACACTGGTGTTTTAGTGTTTTTGAAGAATGTAATTGTGTTCCAAAGTGCTACGAAAAGGGACTACGTAAATACAACATTATTATTGTACTATCCTGAATCACAAGCTTCTACTCAAATCAAGACATGTAATTATCATTGTATTTAAAAAAGGAATTAGGATGCAAGACCATGCTTGTATCATATTACACTACCTTTTCAGGAACAAAATCCTCTTCTGATATCTCAGGAGCCAGATAAAACATATCATATGAATCTAAAGAGAATACGAATGATGTGCTTTAATTTTAACAAAACTTTCATATAAGTTAATAAAACAGATAATTAATAGTTGATCAATAAAATATTGATATACATGTACCTTCACTTTTAGGTGGAACAAAAAGAATGCTTCCATCACTGTTGATCATAACAGAGTCTAAACACAAATATTCTGGGGGGAAAAACATATAATGGAAATTTTCAAATAGTCAAGATTCTTAAAATGATTTGTACATAAACACAGTAGTTAGGATAGCCAGGGAAGAAAAAAAAAACTTTTCATAAACTTGGAGTATGGAGATTCCCTAATAACGCATCAACAGGTTCACAAATTTAAGATTATGAAAGATTCTGAATTGATTGTATTTATTCCTGAATTGCTCACTGTCGTTGGAACTTTTTCCTCCATAGCAGGTTCTAAAACCATAAGGAGGCATTACTGGAGCTGGTATGAGAACCAGTATAGTTTTGTGAGAGAGTCAGTATGGTTTGAGTGTTGTACATTGCTGAGAGACAGCATGGCATAATGGTCTGAATGTTAGTCTATGACCCCGGAGAGTGGAGACCAGTGTTGAATCTCTGCTCAGCCATGGAAATCGACTGAGTGAGTCACAACTCAACATCAGAGGAAGGCGAAGGCAAATTCTTTCTGAACAAATCTTGCCAAGGAAACCTGTGATATGTTTGTCTTAGGGTCTCCATAAGTCAGAAATGATTTGAAAACAGACAACAATACTACCACAAGGCTTTCACTGAGATGTTCACTGATGACTATTCTGATGATCCAATATTAACAATGTACTGACTAGTTCAAGTATTTTTAGCTGCAGATACTAATCTTAGCCAACTCTCTATCTCCCCATCTGCATGCTGAATATTGCCATTGACATGAGAAGTTTGTCAGACAGCTAAGAAGTATCAATGTGAATAGGACCATTTTTAAAAATAAAAATATGAAAGTAAAAATATCCAGAAAGAAAAGTGTTCAATGTTATCAGCAAGCCTTAAGATCAGGGTAGGGAAACATATAACCCTACCAAATTTGTTGCACTGCAGTTCCCATCTGTGTTAGCTAGCATAATCAACAACAACAATAACAACACTTTATTTATATACCAGTGAAGGATGCTAGGAGTTGTAGTGAAACTATATCGGGAAGACCACATGATTCCAACTTCTGCACTAGGGTTATGAGAAATTTCTTATGCACCTGAGAACACCTTTTGCAGTTTCTTCCAAAAACATAAACATTCAAACTTAAGTTCAATATTGACTTTGATACAGGAAGCAGAATCCCATCCACAGCAAATAATCTCATGAGTATAATCCAAGGCAAGCGAAAAGGCATCTGGGTCACACCTGAGAACTAGGATGACTGCTAAAAGTAAATGTTGAACACGTTGGCATGGAGGACATGGAGTGGAAGAAGATCCTTCTCAGGGGGCAGCAGTACAGGCCTGACGAACTGATGGAACCAACATAAGGAAGCAACAGGACATTACAGAAGGAGATTCAACTATTTCAGAAGCCACTACCTGAACATTTTGAGGAAACCTATCATGTGGGTGTGACCAGTACCTTTAGATTATGGTACCTTTAGATGTGAGAAAGAATGCATGCAATCAATGGAAAATAGTATTGAGGGCTTTGATACCAATTCAATCAAAGAAAGCTATGCAGCCTGGCTCAAAGCATGAGGCACTAGAGTCAAGAACTTAGAACAAGGAAAATTCGTGTCCTTCACATTCTTTTTCTTCTGTTGTCTCTTGGAAGCATGCTTAGGGGTAGAGGCAAAGGCCTTTAGACCAAGAGACCAACCTGATGTTGAAGGAACATAGGATCAAGGCTTTATCTTGCTGGCTCTGACTGATACCAAGTTAGTCTAGGATAGGGTGATAGAGTTGGAAGAAGGAGGCCTAGAGCCATCCTTGGACTTCTCCAAATCAACTCCCTATTGCTATGAGATCTCATCACTGGCAAACAGAAATATGAACCACAGAATGTAGGAGTCAATGAAGATTGATGTAATACAAGGGTTGAATGAAAAGTAATGCCTCCATCTTTGTTACTTGGGTCTGGATGGGAATATTTTAATAAATCAAATGCAGAAATAATCCTCAGAATGTGCTCTTTAACTACCACTATTCACTTTTCCACGTAATCACCAGACAATAGATACATTTCTGCCAACGATGAACAAGTTTTCTGAAGCCGTCACAGAAGAAGTCGACACTCTGTTTCCGCAACCCATCGTGCACAGATCTTCTGGTAGCCAAGCAAAGCAATAACGTGACCCACACATTCTTGTGAAATGCCGATTATGCTTGAAATTTCTCTCTGAGTGATATGACGATTGTCCTGAATCAATCTGTCAACCTTTTGCTTGTGAAACTCGGTGGTTGCTGTCAAAGGGCGTTCAACTCTTTGTTTGTCATGCAAGTCAGATGTTCCCACCTCATCATCTTTAAATTTACTCGCCCAATGACGCACAGTACTCACACCAACGCAATCACCACATACAGCTTGTATTCTCTGATGAATCTCCTTTGGGGTGACACCTTCTGCTGTCAAGAATTCAATGACTGCACGTTGCTTAAGTCGCATTGACCGACTGTCTGCGCAGGGTTCCATACTTCACACTTTAAAAACACAACCGTTCAATGCTAAGGTTTCCCACCAAAATGGAACTGTAGAGGAGAATCTACTGAACAAGCCAGTACCTACCGCATACCAGTACTACCATCTGTTGAGTTGTTACAAAGGTGGAGGCATTACTTTTCATTCAACCCTCGTAGATCACACTGACAGCATGTTCAAAACAAATAAAGCCTGCTCTTAACGAGGGCCCTGGAGTCAATGAAAATTGATGGAATACGAGGGTTGAACGAAAAGTAATGCCTCACCTTCGTTACTTGGGTTTGGATGGGAATATTTTAATAAATCAAATGCAGAAATTTTGCATTTGCACTGATGTAAAATTTTTTACAGTCGACACAAGACCCTACCTTATAGCCTTCTCCAACAGGTACAACAGACAGAATAAATGACAATTCTGTTTGAGTATTTTTACCCCAGAAGGAACATTTCTAAAAGGAGCTAGATGAAGTCATGTTAAAGGAACTGAGGTTTGAGTGGGCATCAGTCTGGTCACACTGACCAAGGAAGGAGTGATTACTGTCAAAATGTTCTAGAAGGTTCTTAATGGCACACTAAACAGGCTCAATAAACCAAATTCTGCGAGTCACAGAGACAAATAAAAATTACTGCAAAGGCTGGTAGAAGGTTTGATACATAAAGAAACATTTCCAAGAACTGAAAGGGATAGTAAATGCCAGGCATTCTAAATATATAGGAGAGTACCAACTTAAAATCTGGCCTGAATACTGAATTTCTCACTATCAGATAAAATCACAAATGAGTGCACAGATCACCTCAATTACTTTGAGAATACAAAGACAGGATAAATGGATTGACATTTTAAATGAGAGCCAGTCTTGAAGATGTACTCTAGTTATAAAATATTAAATAGCTGTAAAAGTGCACCCCAAATCATGATTTCACTTTATAATAATTTTCCTAAAACTGACTGTCATGTAGAGAATAACTTTATAGTCATAATAAGAAGAGACACAATGAATTATTGACTTCAGAGTTTGCAACTATTCTCTATTGACTTGCTGCTACACCATTACAGACCTCATAACCTGTATAGAACTTTTGCTTGAGAATATCTCAAGCAAAAAGGGGATACCAGTTAAATAGTCCAATTCTGATCTAATTAAACCTCCTGTCTATATTTCACTGTTACGTGTGGCAAATTATTCTTGGGACAATAATACTAAAACACACAATCCATCATCCTACTAAGGTTGGTATCCTGTTTATGTATACACTAGCTGTACCCGTCCCGCATTGCTGTGTTCAACCTTTCCTCCCTCTTTCTCTCCTTTCTTTCTCTCCTTCCTTCCTTCCCTCCCTCTTTCCTTCCTTCCTTCCCTCCTTCCCTTTTTAATCTTTCCTTCTATCCTTTCTTCTATTCCTCTTCCCTTCCTTCCCCCTTTTCTTTCCCTTGTTCTTTCTCTCCTTTCTTCCTTCTTTACCTCTTCTTGGACTGCAACTCCCAGCAGTCCTCCTGATTGATCTACCTACCTACCTACCTCTACTAATCCAGTGGTTCTCAACCTGGGGTCCCCAGATGTTTTTGGCCTTCAATTCCCAGAAATTCTAACAGCTGGTAAACTGGTTAGGATTTCTGGGAGTTGTAGGCAAAAAACATCTGGGGACCCCAAGTTGAGAACCACTGATCTAATCTATTTTATCTATCTGGAGGATTGTTGGGAGTTGCAGTTCAGGAATAGGAAATTGGAAATATGCAGGAATTGGGATGTTCTCAATGAAATCCAAAGAGAAGGAAGCTTGCCGCTTGGAAGCAGTGCATTTGGATCATCCTTCTCTCCTAAAGGGCCTGATCTAGGGGATACTGAGAGCTGTAGTCCAGATATGTGAATATGCTATTATGTGTTTTGTTTGCCAGGGGAAGTCATTTTTGCACATGTGTTGTAATGTCTTTTTGCTTTTTTGGCTTTTTACTTCCCTTCTGCTGTTTTTTTCCAGTGTTTTTATGAGTGATGGTCACTCGTCGGCCTGATAGGTGTATTGGGTCCAAATTTGGTGTCAATTTGTCCAGTGGTTTTTGAGTTATGTCAATCCCACAAATGAACAGAGCATTTTTATAGATATAGACATGTAGTCCTGGCTACAAGTGGGCAGAATTATTTACTATGACACAACATACTTATTCTGCTGGCATAATATAAATGCATATACACCAACCTTGTTTCTTGAAGCTGTGAACTACAGATTCATATTGTGGTTGCACTTTACAAAATGACAACCATTAATGGACAATGACATGCATTGCACAATGTTGCCATTCAGTATTGGAGTTGTACAGTGTCAGATTAGGGTATCTCTACATGTAAATATTTATGTTGTGTAGAGGAGGTGTTTCATTGCATCTTGTGTTGGTCATAATTGATCTGTCAAAGATAAAAAGGGTACTCCTATCTTCCTCCTGGCTTATTAAAACTCATAAGGTTCCTTTATCCTCCTCCCTGCTTCTTATTATAAATTAAGACCCCTTTCAGGGCACTAGTCTTAATTTTAATAGGAAACAACTGCAAGCACATCCCTTATCTGAATTCCCCTTTTCCTTTTCAGAGCCAAGATAGTCATGCATATGGAAGCATAGATCATTCCTTACTATCAAGATAAGGAAACATAATGCTTTAAAAGAAAGTAATGAAGCTCCTACCTGGATAATCAGTGTATGTTTCCAGAGTAAGCAAGCATTCGTGGCATAAAGCCCACAGTTCATAGTCTTTCAAGGGTTCACCATATTGCGTTAAGAGTTCTTTAAGAAAAATGCACTGAAAACAAAATGTTAAGACAAGTTGAGAAGTAAAAAGGCATTTCTCAATCCATAAATATTATTATTATTAATTATTATTATAATGAATATTAGCATAGGTTACATTAATTAAATTCTGTGTATGCCATTCTATGTACATGAAGCAAGCCAGTTAGTTGTGCTGTCCAATGCAAGGATGGATTGCCCGATGTATTTATTTATTTATTTTATACACTTTTACCCTGCCCTTCTCCCCGCAAGGGGACTCAGGGCGGCCTCACATAAGCATCGTACAATGCTATCATCATACAAATAGTCAACAAATACATTAAAACAATTCATTAAAACAATAGATTAGTCATGTCAGTTAAAACCAAAACCAAGTCTGGAGTTAATTCAATGTCACAGTATCCAAGTCTTCTTTCCAATTGCCGCTGTCCACTAATCAAATGCCTGGTCCCAAAGTCAAGTCTTCATTTTTCTTCTAAAGGAGGTAAGTGGCCAACCTGATGTCTCAGGGGAGAGAGTTCCACAAACGGGGGGCCACTGCCGAGAAGGCCCTGTCTATTGTCCCCATCAACCGCATTTGCGATGGTGATGGGATCGAGAGCATGGCCTCTCCTGATGATCTTAAACTTTGCGATGGTTTGTAACAGGAGATATGTTCGGACAGGTAATCTGAGCCAGAACTGCTTAGGGCTTTAAAGGTTAAAACCAACACTTTGAACCACTGAAGCCCCTTAAAGGCCCCTTCTACCATCTAAAATCCAGATTATCTGTTTTATCTGGATTATATGACAGTGTATCTGGATTATATGACAGTGTATACTCATATAATTCAGTTCAAGGCAGATAATGTAGATTATCTGCTTTGATAATCTGGATTATATGGCAGTGTATATGAGGCCCTACACTACCATATAAATCTGGATTATCTGCTTTGAACTAGATTATATGGCAATGTAGATTCATATGATCCAGTTCAAAGCAGATAATGTGGATTATCTTCTTTGAGACACACAAGTATGTCTACCCACCTACCCACTCACCCACCCATTTATCCCCAACTTGTACAGAGCTTCACTGTTTGTTACAGAGCCCAAAATATCACAATTGTTATGCCTTATTGGTACACAAAGAAGTAATGTTGTCCGTGACTTTAAATAATACAGATACTATAAAGACCTGCTGATATTTCGATCCAAAATGTGATAAGATGACCGAAAGAAAGGATTACTCTAGATATTTTTTTCATTACCAGATAGAACAAAACCTGGCTATGTCACATGTGGTTCTATTGGGGAAAATAGAACATGTTATTAAGAAACCCTCATAGCTAGTAAAGGCTGGATAAAATAGGACATGTCTAACCACCATCACCAACACAGTGATGATGCATAAGTAAATGCTAGCAATTGTAGCCAACCTAACCCCCAAATTCAAATACTCCAGCATTTCAAAGGGACCTCAACTTCAGAATTATATTTACATTAAATATAGCAGAGGACAACAGAAGCAGAAAAGAGACTGTTTGTGTCCTCAAAGAATCCCCAGGTCTATTCTTTGCAGCATGTCAGAATCTCTTCGGCTCTAGCTGTCACCTCTAAGCTGCCTGCTCTAAAGCCTGATTTACCTTGGCAGCTATGCTTTGCACATTTGACATGTAAGCCTTCATCACCATTTAGACCTCTTCTGTAGAACAAGGAGAAATAATATGGAAAGATGAGAGCTTTGTTGCAAAGCATATTTATCCAAATATAAGAAATATCACTAGTGAAGCTAGCAGGATGTAACTTAACTGCTTTATAAACACTGGCATCATCTATACTTCAAGAGATTAACACACCGGGCGCTAAGATTTTGAAATCAGTAGCTATTACTGAAGCCTTATGGGTTTCAGACTGAAGCACCTCAGCAGTCATAGGATTGTGTTACATTTAAGAAAAGCAACCTGAGTTTACAATATTTCTGGAATGAAGATTTTATCTCTGCCTGATCCTCAATGTGCTCATTTTTAATGATTTTTTTTTTTTAAAAAAAACAGAAAATATGATACTTTGGTCTTCATTTGAAACTGCAGTCTCTAGCAACATAACACCTCAGGATGTCATGGGTTTTGTACCTTGCTTATAAAATCCTCCTTACATTTAATATTGGTATAAGGTTAAAGGTAAAGGTTGTCTCCTGACATTAAGTCCAGTCATGTCTGACTCTGGGGTGTGGTGCTCATCTCCATTTCTAAGCCGAAGAGCCAGCGTTGTCCATAGACACCTCCAAGGTCATGTGGCCAGCATGAACGCATGGAACGCCGTTACCTTCCCGCCGGAGCGGTACCTATTGATCTACTCACATTTGCATGTTTTCGAACTGCTAGGTTGGCAGAAGCTAGGGCTGACAGTGGAAGCTCACTCCGCTCCCTGGAATCGAACCTGCAACCTTTTGGTCAACAAGCTCAGCAGCTCAGTGCTTTAACCCACTGCGCTACCGGGGGGTATTGGTATAGCACACCTTTTTCTGCTCTTATTGCCTCCGAAATAATTTATTAGGCACTATATGTTGGTAATTGTGAGTTTCTCTCTTTTTTCTCTCTTCCCCATTCCAGCATCTTTCTCTCCCTCCTTTCCTCCTCTTTATTTTTCAAAAGGTTGTTTGTTTCTGATAAAAATGAGAAAAGCAAGTGGAAAACATTCTTGACCTATCAATATTCAATATCCAGGTATCCCATTACTTCTGAGTGCTGTAAACAATATGTTAAATAATGACAAAAATGTCAAAAATATTTTTAAATTAAAATTATACTTGGCATTTTCCTTTCAGGCACATGCTTGGTTCATTATCACAAAAGCCAGTAAGAAAAAAATAAATATACCAGATGACAAGGAGAGGTCAGACGTATCTAGGCAAGGAGAGAACAGACCTTGGTCAGTGATAAAAGCCATGTTTTGTATGTGCAAGGACACTGACGAATATCGGGAAATGCAAAGGTTTGCTTGTTATTTATGACATTTGCATTGCGTAATTCTCAATATTCTAGAAAGGCCTAATACTGTAAACAAACAAACAGTTTGATTTCAAGAAGGCCAGTTATAAATAAACACTGTCAGGCATCCTGTTTTAATATTGATTCCTGTTCTTGAACCAGAATCAGGCAACTGTCAGCCACTCCCTACCAAAACACAAAGGAGGTCCACAGCATCTCCACTATAGCCCCATCTTCAATTTGTGAATTTTATTTTTTGCACACAACCCAATGCTACCCCCAAACATCTTAAGGTTGAAAATTTTGTGGCAATACGTTTTCCACATCTGGGGGAGGAATCCTGGGACCCCTGGAGACCTAAAACATGTCCTTGGGGAACTGGATGTGGTCCCACTTCAACTTGAAACAAGTAGCAAACTTCTCAAAGTGACATTAAAAAGGAAACCATCACTGTTTATATTTGTATTATAGCCACTTTGAGGTGCCTTGTGGAGGGGAATATCAGGGTATAATTAAACATAATAATATTAATACTAACAACAACAACAACCACAACAACACTAAATAACAAAATTTGAAAAAATATGTTCTTGGTTTGAAAGTGTTATTTCCTGTTTCATTGTACGATACATACTTTGAAAGTAGCTGTTCTACTCCAAAAATGCCACAAACTATGTTGAATTGGTTGAGACTCTATGAGATATTCATTGAAAAACTATACCAAAATGTGCTGCAGGATGTCCCATGAAAACAAAGTTTTTGCAGTTTTCCCATGGTTTTGTGATAGAACCAATTAGGAAATGACATTTGTAACCCAGGAACAAAAGTAACTTTGCATAGTGTAATATTTCAGCCAATCAATTTAGAGCAAAGTAATCCATGAGTAACTCTGAAGTGTTCCTAAATATTCTTGCTAGACACTTGCAGTTACTCTTCTAGTGCAAAACAACAACAACAACAACAACAACAACAACAACAGAGTAGCTTTTAAAAGCTCCCCATTCACTCCTGTGAAATCTACCACAAAGGGAGATTTTGATATGGGATAAAAGTTTAAAAACAGGTCTGACACAACTATGCCCACATTAACCTTTCGAACAGATATAGGTTTTTTTTATTCTAGAAAAAGAACATAGTGGAAGAAGACTGCTTAAAACTTTGTTTATGTGCTGAATGCAACCCTGAAATTACAGGCACCCAATTTTCACCACAGATTTTATAGTCCAGTGTTTCTCAACCTGGGGGTCGGGACCCCTGGAGGGGTCACGAGGGGGTGTCAGAGGGGTCACCAAAGACCATCAGAAAACACAGTATTTTCTGTTGGTCATGGAGGTTCTGTGTGGGAAGTTTAGCCCAATTCAATTGTTGGTAGGATTCAGAATGCTCTTTCATTGTAGGTGAACTATAAATCCCAGCAACTACAACTCCCAAATCTCAAGGTCTATTTTCCCCAAACTCCATCAGTGTTCACATTTGGGCATATTGAGTATCCGTGCCAAGTTTGACCCAGATCCATCATTGTTTGAGTCCACAGTGCTCTCTGGATGTAGGTGAACTACAACTCCAAAACTCAAGGTCAATACCCACCAAGCCCTTCCAGTATTTTCTGTTATGGGAGTTCTGTATGTCAAGTTTGGTTCAATTCCATCTTTGGTTGAATTCAGAATGCTCTTTTATTGTAAGTTAACTATAAATCCCAGCAACCACAACTCCCACAGGACAAAATCAATGCCCTCCCCCAGTCCCACCAGTATTCAAATTTGGGTGTAGTGGGTATTTGTGCCAAATTTGGTACAGTGAATGAAAATACATCCTGCATATCAGATATTTACTATTCATAACATCAGCAAAATGACAGTTATGAAGTAGCAACGAAACTAATGTTATGGTTGGGGGTCACCATAACATGAGGAAGTGTATTAAGGGGTCGTGGCATTAGGAAGGTTGAGAACCACTGTGTATAGTCCAATATAATATGATTGCACTGTTGTGCAATCATATTATACTGAAATATCAGCCCTACTGTATTTCCCAAGTGAATCACTGAGCTGCAATGAGCCCTGAAACTGTGAAGGAAGGCAAACAGACAACATTAACCAAAGGACCTACCAAGTCCCAGTACTATTTCAGCCCAATCTACTCACCACACTGATCAACATAAATAGGGCTGATGATATTCAATCCTGCCCTACACTATCTCAGTCATGCAAATACAAATGAATGAAAATGACTGTATTGCTTTTAAACTCCACTTCTGAAATCATGCTGCATCCCAAGAGACAGTGGCTTACTCCCCAACACATTTTCGTTTTGACAAAAATACATGCTTTCCTTACAGAAATGGATTTCTATTTTCAACAGATAACATAATCTACTCTGAAAACCACATCCCTTTCTTAAGAAGGTCCATCAGGGGACCATGGCAATGGCTACCATTTGATAATACTGAATTTTCCCCTCAGTATAAACACACTATCTAGTCTGGTTTTCGCTGCTGTCACAGTTTAAGAGTTTAAGCCACAGCAACTGCATCCAAAGAAATGACACACCAAGAATTGAATTAAGTAGGTTAGAGAGGGGAAAACATCTCCAGTCACACTTGAATTGACATAATATTTATTTGTGAATGACATAGAAAAGGGCATTTTTGAAAGTCATGACAATACAGTTATATACCAAGAAAGCAAATGGGTTCAACAATGTACATTGCTGAAAAAGTAAAGGATAAAAGGTGCAAGATTATGGCATTGGTGTAGACGTATTTACTTGAAAGAAGTACTAGTGGCAGAGGAACATTGCTGCTGGAACAAAAGAGAACATAAACACCAAAAGAATGTATTCCAAAGGAGACAGGAAGCAAGCATAAACAAGGAAATGGACAACTGCTTGCCCTAAAATAGAAAAGGAGAAAAAATTTACTGCTTAGCTATTATACTCATTGGCCACGCATAAGGATGCTGCTACATCCATGTTACTGAATACATATTGTGCAGCATATGACAAATTCTCAAGCTATGACAGCATGTCATTATGGAAAAGACAATTGTTTTATTTTGCAAATAAACTGAAAAAGCATAATAATAAATAAATCAAGAAAATCCATTAAAATATTCAGGACAACTAAATATGAATGGCAGTATGCTGGATTTCATTTAAAGGAAAAGGGAGAATTGCTTGTGGCAAAGTTAATGTACCATGGTTTCACTTTTCCTGGTACTCTTTCCTAATCTTTATGTAATTGCAAGAATATATTATTTCATGAAGAAATACTGGTCTGCTCATTTTTAATATTGCTGGACAGAAAGGTATGAGATAATTCCAATAATTGTGGATAAAATAGTTTGTGATGCTGGAGAACAGGGTTTTGGGTGATACTAGGCTTGCACATTTTGGCTACACCTTGATCAGTTTCTGCTGGCCAGATACTGGTAGGCCACCATATCTATTTTCACACAACCCCTGAAAACAGGTGGGGAGCTGGTTAGCCACTTTCGGTCCATAGCTGAAAACTGAAGCTAGATCTGGCCCATTGGCGGCAATTGGGAACTTATGAGGCTCCTCTTTCCATTCGAGGGACCCTTTCCTTTTTCCCCTCAAGGGAACCTGGGCGTCAGCTTTGGGGTTAAGAAATAACCCTATCTGGTCTCTTATGGCGGGGGGTGCTTTCCACAGGCTCTCCTTCCACATTCTTTATTAAGACCTGAATTAAAAGCATCAGAGTTAAGACAATGCTCTTTCTGCAATTCTTTCCCTTCTTTCTGTAGAGGAGACTGAGTTTAATGTTTCCTTAAAGCTATTTCTTTCTATTCTAGAGGAGACAGGCCGCCGGTACACACGCTCTCTCCCTGCATGCGGCTTTCCAAGGCATTTACGGAGGCTTTCCACTTTCCATGGAAGAAAGAGCGATCAAACTGGAGCTATTTCCCTGGGCTTCCATTAAAAAACAAAACAAAAAAACCCCTCTTTTTTCACTACTGCAGGCCCTGTCTGGAATGGGCACACTCAATCTCCAATTTTAATGCTAACTTAAAGCTCTTTCTACTCTAGAGGAGAGGTAACTAGGTGGTAGTAGTTTTCAGAGAATGAGGGTTTTCTTTTTGTCTGCTGAGATTAATAATAATTATTATTATCTTCTAAAAGTATTTGAAGGAGAGGAAGAGAAGAAGAGAAGAAGAAAAAAGATTAAAAGGTGACTCTCCCAAGCCCCCAAATGCATGAGCGCCCCCCACCCACCCGTCCTGCATGTCCCCAATTCCCAGTCAGTCCCAATAAATAAAATGTATCAAGAAAATAAAGGAAAGTCAAAAAGATTAAACTGTAGTGCCGAATAGGAGAGGAGGAGCCAAGATTCGCTGCCACATGGTCTTGTTATGTACGGGAATCTGTGATGGCTGGCGCCTTGCCGTTACGGGCACCCGAACAAACCAAAGAAACCAGATTGGCCGAAGGAAACAGCTAAAAACAGATCTGGGCTTAAGCCTAGCTGACACCCAATCTTAATACGCTATATTGAAGTTTAAACTGACAACCAATGGTCTCCAGTATGCCCCAGACATTCACTTGAAACTCTATAAAATGAATTTACATGTGATCCCAAATGCAGGCCATCAAAAATACATTTTTTGCCAACCAGACTCTTTATAGCTATAAACAATACATGTTTTGCCAACCTGACTCTTTATAGCTATAAACTCATGAAAAATTCACAATAAGAAAAACAACCAAACCATTGAATATGGAAGTTTTCTTTTCTTTGAAAATGATAACTCTTATATACCAAAGGTTTCTTAACATCACCCAAGTCTGGGAAATAGACAGAAAGCAAATACAGGATAGAAAAGTAAACCCGCCTGTCTCTTAATATAGACAAGAAATGCTGTCTTTAAATATCCTAGTTGATCACATGAACGGATATTCTTATGTGTCAACAAAGCTCAGCAAGCCTACTTGCATCAACTAAATTTTAATAATATCATGCGAGTGGTAAGAGGTGAAGGAAGCAGCACATCTTCAATATGCAATAAAGATGAGGAACAAGAGGAAGAAGGAGGAGGAGGAGGAGAAAAAGAAGAAGGAGAATAATAATAAGAAGATGAAAATTATTTTATTTGTATTCCATCCTATCTCCCCTAGTGGACTCAGGGCAGATTCCAACAAACACAAAACACAGAGACTAACATTCAATGCCTCAAGACAGGTATAAACATGAATACATTAATGACCCCCTCCCCCCAATCCCAAAGCAAACAGACACCGAATTACTAATTATAAAATAAGATTTAAAATTACACAAACAGTTAAACAATAGAATTATAGTAAAGGTAACGTTTTCTGCTGCCATTAAGTCCAGTCGTGTCTGACTCTGAGGGTTGGTGCTCATCTCCATTTCTAAGCCGAAGAGCCGGCGTTGTCCATAGACACCTCCAAAGTCATGTGGCCAGCATGACTGCAAGGAGCATCATTACCTTCCCGCCAGAGCGGTACCTATTGATCTACTTACATTTGCATGTTTTTGAACTGCTAGGTTGACAGAAGCTGGGGCTAACAGCAGGATTTCACACTGCTCCCCAGATTCAAACCTGTGACCTTTAGGTCAATAAATTTAGCAGCTCAGTGCTTTAACCCACTGCTCCCCCGGGATTATATCAAACCATAAAAGCGTGAACCTCAATTTACGGAGCTGAATGGTTGGGCTACATTACAGCAGCCACATAAAAACTTCCTTTAAGTTCTTCCATTTGGTCGCTGGAATCATTTACATGGACTCTTTCAATACCAATGCCATTTTTTTCAATCATTTTATATAGACATTTATATCAGTATGGAGAAAAAACCCAATGAATTGCATTGGAAGGCATTCTATAAAACAGCCTGCCATGCCACATGGCACCAGCTAAACTACATGTACAAGCAAATTAGGGCACTGGTTTCTACAAAAGTGACTAGAAATAAATGGCTTGAGATCATTTCTATGTGCAGATAAATTACCTGTCAAAATATGGTGTTGCTTAAATCCACAGTAAGACTTCAATCATATTGCATTTAACCAAACACATGCTATCATTCAGATCTTTACTGTTTAAAGTACTGCTAACAGGAAAGTCCTCATCCAATACCTTCTGCTGATTGTAAGCTTAAACACCAGCTACAATGCTTTTAAAGAAGGCAATCTTTCCCACCCTGCAATTAAATCTCTGCAATGCCACACAAAGACTTTTTTTTACAAAAAGAAGACTGTTTCTCTTACCTGTTCTTTATTTTTCATGTCAGACTTCCTACCTTCACTGCACTGCAGTGAATCTTCAATATAATGCAAGTCTTCAATATAACTGTCTTTTCCCTCTGTGAGTTTTGCGGTTGGAGAATTCAGCAAGTTTGAGCTACATCTATTTTTGTTAAGTCCTGTAAACACTGTAGACAGAGTGCCAACACCTAACATAGTCTTTTCATTTGAACATGGAGAATTTTCACAATATTGCCATGGTTCATAGCTTCTTAATATTTGGTAGCTAGAATGTGATCCGTCTGAACCATTACATTTACCACAGTTGTCTTGGGTTTCAGAAACACAATGATTACGTGGCTGAAAATCTACTTTATTGTCATCGCAAGATGTCACATGGTATTGATAAAGGCAAGGTATCTTTGGGTTCAGGTACAATTTCTCTAAATCACTATTTGCCTCCTGGAAATAAGCTGTGTTTGAGCCAAGTTGACTATTTCTATGGTCACCATCTAGCCCTCTTTCTAAAGCATCTTGATTATTACTTATTAAAGATATTGATTTGGATTGTAATTGATTGTATTTCCTTGTTAATGGTCCATTTTGTATTTTAATAGGGAAGAAAGTTCTTGGTTCCACCTCAGATTCAAATGGCAGCATTGGAAAAGTTTTCGCCTTCCGCAAGCAGTTTGTTTTAAGCACATCTGTCCCCAATTCACATGTATAAGGGTTTGTTTCCAATTTGTTGTATTCTGTACTTTTCTCCTCTTCTTTACATTTTGCAGCCTGAGATGAAACTGGCTGATAGCAAAAGCCTTCATTCACTAGGTTGTTTTTAACTTCTTTCATATCTTCACTGTGATCATTTGCTATACACACAGCAGAGGAATTTCTACCACTATCAGCTTCAACATCTGGAGATGAATTTTCTCTTAAGTTGTCATCTGCACACTGTTCATAAGGTGAAATCTTCTGATTGTCTCGTCTTTTCCACAAGTTATCGCAACTGCCTGGACACAAAAATAGATATTAAAAATATTTCCCCCTTCATGATCCCATCACATCCAAAGAAAAAGTGGATTGTACTGATATTACTGCACTGCCTAAGAATGTCATTATAAAGTAGATTATTATCAAACACTAGATTGTATCATCAAAGGCTTTCATGACTGGAATCACTGGGTTGCACTAGGTTTTTTGGGCTGTATGGCCATGTTCTAGAAGCATTCTCTCCTGATGTCTCGCCTGCATCTGTGGCAAGCATCCTCAGAGGTTGTGAGGTCTGAGGATGCCTACCACAGATGCAGGCGAGATGTCAGGAGAGAATGCTTCTAGAACATGGCCATACAGCCCAAAAAACTACAACAACCCAAATGCTACATTGTGAAATGGGAGTTGAGGTAGCTAAGAAAATTTTCCTTTTCTACTGCAAATGGTTGTAGTGTTTTTATTGTGTCAGAAGCGACTTGAGAATAGCAAGTCATGTCTGGTGTCAGAGAATCAGCCATCTACAGAGACGTTGCCCGGGAAATGCCCAAATGTGTTACCATCCTATGGGAGGCTTTTCTCATGTCCCCACATGGGAAGCTGGGGCTGATGGGAGCTCACCCCGTCTCACATATTCGAACCGACAACCTTCAGGTCTTCAGGCCAGCAGTTCAGCTGACATAAGGGTTTAACCCATTGTGCCACAGCGGCTCCTAATGGTTACAGTGAAATTCATGCTCAATAGCCCCATCCACTAATATGCCATATGGAAAAGATCAAGTGGAAAAACCAATCATATTCTCCAAGTCTCAGATGAAGACAACAGCAACCCTCCCCCCACCAAAAAAAAAAACAATCTATGCTTGTCTTAGGAACAACACACAACTTGAAAACACAGAATAACGAGCAAACACAATTTCCTTTTCCAAAGCCAGAGACACAGAAGTTGACTTCTCAGTATTTTCCTACTAGAAAAAAACCTTAGAAGAAGGCAATGGCAAACTTCATATGAATAAATCTTTACCCAAAAAAAATCATATCATAGGTTTGGGACTTCATTACACATAACAGCAATAACAATACAGACATTTTTAGATGGCACAGTAAGAAAAAACAGATTTTTTCCTAATATAAACTGATTTAGATTCTCAGGAGCAGCAGTGGCACAATGGATTAAACCCTTGTGATGGCGGAACTGCTGACCTGAAGGCCTGAAGTTGTGAAGGTCAGCGGTTCAAATCTGTGGAATGGGGTGAACTCCCATCTGTCAGCTCCAGCTTGCCATGTGGGGACATGAGAGGAGCCTCCCACAGGATAGTAAGTCATCTGGGCATCCCCTGGGCAACATCCTTGAAGATGGCCAATTCTCTCACACCAGAGGCGACTTGTAGTATATTCTCAAGTCACTTCTGATATAATTTTAAAAAATTCAGATTCTGTTTCACAATTTTTTTAAAAAAACTATTGGATCCATTATGCAAATGTGATGTCATTTCTAAAACAGATATACTATACCTTGAAAGGCACCACATGATTCCATTGAAAGTACTGTTCTTCCAATAGCAGAAAGACACTGGCAAATATCGCTGGAAGATGAGAGCTTCAGTTTCTCTTCACACAAAGATATGACATCCTATAATGATAAGTAAATAGATAATTTAATAACTGCCTATCTATCATGCATGGCATGTTGTCAATCTGATACATGATATTAGTATCAGCGTTTTGTATTTCTAAAACAAGCGATTACGAAAATGCAAGATCATGCAACACCCAAATTATTATTGTTCCACATGATTTTTAGTTTGAATAAAATGTTTTAAAACATTTGTTATATTCAAGAAATCACTACAAAGATATTTTGCCTGTTATTTATGGACACAGTTATGAGACTACAGTTTAGTTAAAATTCTCTTCATGTTTTTCTTGAATGAAAAGTGGACTCTGCAAACATAATTCACTAAATGTTCTAATTTGCTGCATCATACATCACAGCCTTGAAGAGAATTTCAATAGGAAAAATGTATTATCTCTTAGTAACCAAAATATACACATTAATAAGAGGCTAATAATGTCCAAGAAACAGAAAGATACAGATGAAATCAAGGACTTGCAGACTGTTTTCCAAGGACTTCGGTCTTGATTCCACAATATTCTCATCTGTTTCCAGGTATTTGTGCCAAAGCAAATCAGTCAAACTAAAGTTTCAAATAATAATTAGCATTTGAGACACCCATTTGCAAAACACTGGCTAGAAAACATTAGATTGGATCCAGAATTACTATTTCTGCATGCATAGCCTAGCCCTTTTTCCTGACACGGTTGTTTACAAGGAACCAAAAAAACCAAAAACAAACAAAAAAAACAGCTAGGATATAACAAATGGCCAGGAATCTAGTTCCTTCAGCCAGAACCAAGGTTGCATTCAGTTGTGAACACTGCTGTAAATGCAGATTCTGCCATTTTAACCAATATAAATATGTGAGTATTATAAAAGGAAATATATGGTACCTTTCCAAAATATCCACCCTTATGTTTAAATTTACCCTATGAGTTTGGACATGAAAAGCAGACCACTACAAAAAGGTACTACTACTACTACTCATAATAATAATAATAATAATAATAATAATAATAATAATAATAATAATAATAATACTTTATTTATATTCTGCCCTATCGCCCGAAGGGACTCAGGACAGATTCCAATCAAAAAAGGCAAACACCTGATGCCTGAATACAGCAACCAATACATGTTGTTGTTGCTTATTCATTCAGTAGCTTCTGACTCTTTGTGACTTCATGGACCAGCCCATGCCAGAGCTCCCTGTAGGCCATCGCCACCCCCAGCTCCTTCAGAGTCAAGCCAGTCACTTCAAGAATGCCATCCATCCATCCATCTTGCCCTTGGTCAGTCCCTCTTTCTTTTTCCTTCCATTTTCCCAGCATCATTGTCTTCTCTAAGCTTTCTTGTCTTCTCATTATGTGGCCAAAGTACTTCATCTTGGCCTCTAATATCCTTCCCTCCAATGAGCAGTTGGGCTTTATTTCCTGAAGTATGGACTGGTTGGATCTTCTCACGGTCCAAGGCACTCTCAGAACTTTCCTCCAACACCACAGTTCAAAAGCATCTATCTTCCTTTGCTCAGCCTTCCCTAAGGTCCAGCTCTCACATCCGTAGGTTACTACGGGGAATGCCATTGCTTTGACTATGTGGATCTTCGTTGCCAGTGTGATGTCTCTACTCTTCACTATTTTATCAAGATTGGTCATTGCTCTCCTCCCAAGAAGCAGCAGTTTGTGTCTGCAATAACCTTTGCACCTAGAAATACAAAGTCTGTTACGGCCTCCACATTTTCTCCCTCTATTTGCCAGTTGTCAATCAGTCTGGTTGCCAGAATCTTGATTCTTTTTTTATGTTTAACTGCAACCCAGCTTTTGCACTTTCTTCCTTCACCTTGATTAGAAGGCTCCTCAGCTTCTCCTTGCTTTCGGCCATCAAAGTGGTATCATCTGCATATCTAAGGTTGTTAATGTTTCTTCCAGCAATTTTAACCCTAGCCTTGCATTTGTCAAGCCCCAAACATCGCATGATTTGTTCTGCATACAAGTTGAATAGATTGGGTGAGAGTATATAACCCTGCCATACGCCTTTCCCAATCTTGAACCAGTCTGTTGTTCCGTGGTCTGTTCTTACTGTTGCTACCTGGTCATTATATAGATTACTCAGTAGACAGACAAGGTGATTTGGTATCCCCATACCACCAAGAACTTGCCACAATTTATTATGATCCACACAGTCAAAAGCTTTAGAATAGTCAATAAAACAGAAATAGATGTTTTTTCTGAAATTCCCTACCTTTCTCCATTATTCAGCAGATATTGCAATTTGGTCTCTTGTTCCTCTACCTTTTCTAAAGCCAGCTTGTACATCTGGCAACTCTCTCTCCATGTATTGTTGGAGTCTAACCAATACATACACAATAGTAAAAAAATGATAGGTTATGTTTTATCTTAATTTTAGAAGTTAAGTTATAATTTGTTTTTATATGTTGGGTTATTATTTTTTACTATTATGTAACCAATACGTACATAATAGTAAAAAATAATAACCCAACATATAAAAACAAATTATAACTTCTAAAATTAAGATAAAACATAACTTATCAAATAAACTATATCAACATAGAACAAAGCATCAAACAGAAGCATTAATTTGCCAAAGCTAACCAAACTCCTTGAGGGTGTATAAGTTGATTATTGCCAAAGATGTTAACTGGACTAGGAAGATAAACAGGGCCCAGATACAGATGACAGATATTAATCATAGGTATAGTAAGAGTATAATTATTTAATCCTCCTCCTCTTCATAAGCCAATGAGCAGAAGTGTGTTTTCAGTTGTTTTTTGAAAGCGAGGAGGGAGGGGGCCATTTTATTTCCGAGGTGGGGGATGATCACAGAGAAGGCCCTTTCTCTCGTTCCCACCAGCCATACTTGAGATGGGGGTGGGACCGAGAGCAAGGCCTCCTCCAATGATCACAGTATCCAAGTTGGTCTATAAGAGGAGATGCGATTAAACAAATAGCCTGGACCCTAGCCATTTAGGGCTTTAAAGGTAATGACCAGCACTTTGTATTTAGCCCAGAAGCAGATCAACAGCCAGTGAAGCTGCCATAACAGGGGAGTAGTTCTCTCCCTGTACTAGAGTATTAAATTGCACCGAAGTCTCTTACACTGAACTCTTTGTATCCCTTGAACTTCTGTGCAGTTCCTTATATAACCCAATTTAATCTTTTTATGGGAACTTGATACCAAACAATTATCTTCCAAGAAATAACCAATATAAAAGAGGAGTAATTTTTCTCTTCAAGACAGATCAGAATCATATGAAATTGTTCTCCATTCCTCCCAATTACCTCAATTTCTGGTCTATCTTTGGGATTTTCTTCCTGCATTTTTTCAAGCAGCATATGTAGATCCTGGCTACATTCTGAATATATTTCAGGCTCCATCATGTACTCAACTACAGCTTCTAGTGTGGCTCCCAAAGAAAAGATGTGTGTCTGCAAAATCAAAACAGAAACAAAGCATTGTGCATGAAACTATAGTCCCAATTAGTTCAATTAAAATCGACATGTCAAAACCATCTAACGACATTTACAGCATATGTTTCCTTAATACATACCTCAATAATGCAACTGCTGGAAACCAAAAGCAGGTTAGTACATTAGGATAGTCTAAGTATTTTAATACCATGTGTGTACCAAGCCTGCACAACTAAGAAACACCAGTATTTTCATTTTCAAACATACACTGATTATGAATTCTATATTATCCACTTGTACATACAATGCACTTGTATGCTGGGGAAAATGGAAGGAAAAAGGATGAGGGGCCGACCAAGGGGAAGATGGATGGATGGCATCTTTGAAGGAGCAGGGGGTGGTAACGACCGACAGGAAGCTATGGCCTGGGCTGGTCCATGAGGTCACGAAGAGTCAAAAATGACTGAATGAAATCACTTTGAGGCAGGCAAATCACAATTACAGCAGGACAACAGGATCTTTGCTTTGGACTTATCACAGGATGTCATCCCTTTCCTACCACTCATCCCATGGGAGACTGTTGGAAAATATTTCTTTGACAACAAGGGTCATTAATTGAACATTAGTGTTCATAAAACGCTGTTTCCCATTGAGAAAGCAGTGGGGAAAGAGTATCATTGTGTGAGGAGCCCAATGCAAAGATGCCATTGTCCTGCGGCAATTGCAATTTGGATGCCTCATGTGATAACTCCTAAATTACATTGTTTGTTTCTACACTGTGATACTGGCCAGCTCAAGTCTTCCCTTTTGGAAGAAAACGCAACACGTCATAGTTTAAAACTGTTCCCTCTGCACATGTATACCAGTTTCAACCACTGTTTCCAGTTCCATGCTGAGAAACACCACTCTGTAATCATCAGTATATGAGAAAACCACCTATAAGAAAAGGTAATAAAAATGTGGCAACATTATAATGCATACCATCTTAACATGCCATAGTTCTCAAGATGCAGAGTATTGAATTTGATACACATGCACAATAGAAGTCCCTGAAATAACAAAAGATTTAAATCTGAGGCTTGACTGAAAATCTGTAACTTAAATGGCAAATTACAGGTGTAGGCCAACATGGAAATGATGCAATCATTTCTTCCTTCAAACATCCCACACTCTTCTAATTTGTGTCCCATCAACAAAAGGAGAACATACACTAAGCAGACTTTAAATACTTCTTTTATGTGGTCTAAATACCCTAAATGTATCAGATCCTGTCTGATCTTGAAAACTAAACTGTCAGTCATGGATAATAGTTGTATGGAGAACCTCAAGAAATACTGAAAGTGGTAGGCTATTTTTCTTAGGAAGGGATTGGAAAACAATGTTTATTTCTTTCCAAAGAAAACCCTACAAAGTAATGAGTTCACTATAACTCATGACATATTCACATACTGCATGGGTTTCCAAGCACAAACATGTCAAAATCATGAATGTCTAAAAGCCAATAAATGCTGGCAAGTCAATAGTTCCATAGATTCAGTGCATATACAATTACCCAACTGGATTGTTGACATAGGGGAAAAGTTTGAGCAGCACCACCAACCACAGATAGGAAATGGAAGCTAATATTTCTTCATTTCAGGTGAAACCAACAAAGTACTTTGACAGCTTTCCACTAGGTGGAGCTTTCTGCAAATCTATTAAAATAATATCTCAATGCAAGCTCAGTGGAGCTGGTGGGTCTGTCAAGTCTGTACATACATTCTTTATTCTTTAATCTTAAGAAAAGGACCTACTGATAGGAGAACAGGGTATTTTTAAAGAAATAAAAAACTTATCAAGAAAAAAGAAGTCGTTTAAGGGAAATTTCACATAAAGCAAAACATCTTACATGGAAGACAGCTCTATAAAATCAGTTTAAAAGCTTGGCTTTTCCAATGTGCTTTTGAGGAATGAACAGAAAATCGCCTATATCATGGCCGTCCCAGTGCAAATTTGTCCTTCTAATGCACTTTATCTCTTCCCTCAGTGAAAAAACCTTATTGTTTATCCTACGTGAGTCGCCCACTAGACACACCATTCTATTTATCTATCTCACCCAGGGGTTTTATAATTTTACTTTCTGCATTTGGCTCAGCTCGCCTTGTTTAATTCTTTTTCACTTTATACTATGTGTTATTATGTTATTGTCATTACTTTATTGTATTAATTGTACTTTTTTGTATTGTTCACATTTTATTCGATGTTATTGTTTGTTGTATGTATTTTATTTTGCCTTATTGTAATTCTTGGGCCTGGCCACATGTTAGGTGAACCAAATCCCTTCGGGGAGATGGTGGCGAGGTATAAATAAAGTTTATTATTATTATACTGAAAAGATATACAAAGTTCATTATGTATTTCACAGTCTTAGATACAGGGTGGTCAATAAAGTCTCTATATCCATATTTCTGCAGATTTATAAAGATATAATGATTAAAACAAAAATTTTAATTAGAGGTACAGTCCAGTGAAAGACAATATGGTCCTTACTAGAAAGCTCAACATTCTAGTCGCTTTGATGAAAGAGTTAGAAAACCTAAATTATTGGACAGTTCTTAACTACCAAACAGCTTAATCAAAGATGAATCAATAATATGTATCCTGCATCAGAAATGCTTGTGACCAGAAGTATTATGTATTTTAGATTTTTAAAAAATTGAACAGATGATGAGAAATCCTGGAGATAGGCCCCAAGTCAAAAGCAAAATTAATTGATGTTTCATATACAACTCATTTTTATTTACTGTATCATAAGCAAATTGAGAATACAGTTATAATTTATAGAAAAACCACAAAGTTTAAAATTTTGGTATTGTACTCTATTTCCTTTGACCAGAAACTGGCCACTTGGAGTGCTTCTGGTATTGCTGTAAGAAGGTCCTTTATTGTGCATGTGGCATGGCTCAGACTGCATTGCAGAAAGTGGTCTGTGGTTTGCTCTTCTCCACACTTGCATATCATGGATTCCACTTTGTAGCTCCATTTCTTAAGGTTAGTTTTGCATCTCGTGGTCCCAGAGCGCGGTCTGTTCAGCACCTTACAAGTCGCCCAGTCTTCTGTGTGCCCAGGAGGGAGTTTCTCATCTGGTCTCAAGCCACTAATTGAGGTTCCGGGTTGTAACCTGTCACTTTTGGACTCTCACTTGCTGAGGTGTTCCTGTGAGTATCTCTGTAGATCTTAGGAAGCTATTTCTTGATTTAAGGTGTTGGCTTGCTGGTTGATATCTGAACAGAGGATGGGCCGGAGATGTCAAAGCCTTGGTCCATTCATTACAGGCTGGTACTTGCCGGTGGATGTGCAATACCAGCTAAACAGTATAATATCAGTATAATTTCTCCAGTGATATAAGGTGTAGACATCATGTGATAATACGGCATGTCTCATTAAAGGCCACATCCACTGTTTTATTGTGGTGAGATATAGTCCATACTGGGCATATGTATTCAGCAGCAAAGTAGCAAAGGCAAGGGCATATGTCTTCACTGTGTCTGGTATATACACCTTATACATAGAGGCAATTTTAAATGGCAATGTTTTGTGCACAAAACAATATTTGTGTACACTGAACCACTGGAGAGCAAAGGTGTTATTATCTTTTTGAACAATTCTGAAGTATTATACATTTCAAAATTCCAGGTAAGGAATGATCATATCATACAAACTTGTACAGAAAAACATGATATTTTCTTCTTATGTGAAAAACAATCTTGGGCATTATTTATTTATTTATTTATTTACAACATTTCTACCTTCAAAACCCCCGAGGAGGGACTCAGAATGGCTAACAATGACAAAAATTTGATACCGCAAATATCACAGTAAACAATATAAAACCATAAATACACAATAGATTAAAAACAATGACATTAGTTATACAATCATAGAGTCATTTCCATATGGTTCAGTTCAATGTCCAAAGTGCCGTTATGCCTACTAGCCAAAGGCCTGGTTCCAAAAACACAATTTCAGTTTTTTCCTAAAACAAAGGAAGGAGGACGGCGATCTAATCTTGCTGGGGAGCGAATTCCACAAGTACTGAGAAGGTCCTCTCCCTTGTCCCCACCAGATGCATTTGTGAGGCTGGTGGGACCGAGAGCAGGGTCTCCCCGGAGGATCTTAAACTACGAGGCGGAATGTAGAAGGAGATACGTTTGAACAGTTTGCATTTGCCATGTAACTGTAACCAAACTGACAATGTACGGACTTTATACTTAAGGTTCATATAACATCATTTGTGTTATTAGACAACCTCTATCAGACCCAAAAGCAACCAAAGCCCCTGGAAGACAGCACAACCCACAATAACCTATACTTCTATCAAAGGACACTTTTCTTCATTGTTCACATGAATTTAGAACATTACATCAAACAGTATGACTTCTTCCATTCTATTTTGAATAGCACTGCCAAGTTGAGAGGAAAGGGCTTACATTTTAGGAATGTCAGATGATGTTTATCTTTTGACTTCTGGGGGAAAATATGTTAATCTTTGTTTCAGTCCCGGCCAATATCCTGAAATACGCCAAGTCATTATAATTGTTTGGCACACATGCTCCTGCAAGGAGAGCACCTAGTCTTTTGATTGCTAATTGGCTACCCATGATCCATGAAATTAATGCTGTATTTCAGGAAATCTACCTCAGTTATTGTTTCCTGGAATACACCACTTTAAGTATCTGTAAAAAAAACTGTATTACACTAGATATGTGATTTGAAGAACTGCAGATGTCTTGGGAGTCAGAAGTTATTAATCTTTTTCAATGCACTGCAGTGTTCTCTGTTTTCTAATAAATAGAACTAATTATTTCTCTGATTAATTTATGCTGGGTAACTGGTAGAGTGGTGCTTAACACCACAGTCAGACATTAAGAATCCTAGACTCTAAAGGAACTAAAAATCTAAGGAGGGCGTTTTAGAATCAGAGAGCTGGAAGACACCACAAGAATCATCCAGGCCATTCCACTACCACTGTAGAAATA